TTCTTCCTAAATTGATTCTGAATCTTCTGCAGGTGGGTGTGGATTTTTCTGGATGGCTGGGACCTTGGGGCTAAGGAGAGGACAAGTTATGAGTGGTGCTGTATAGAGAATCCAGGGCAAGAACGATGGATGAGAGAAAAGTTTCAGGATATTCTAGGTTTAATGACAGATTGAAAGGGAAGAGATGAGGCAAGTTGGTCAAAAAGCTACAGGCCGTGGCCGGCACCGTGGTGCCGCAGGTTACAGCACTGGATGCCGGCACCCCACATCAGATTGCCAACTGCTCTGCTTCTGATTCAGCTCCCTGTTAAAGTAGCAGAGTGTGGCCCGAGTGCGTGGGCTTCTGCCCTCTAAGGGGGAGACGTGGAAGCAGCTGAAGGTTCTCATTGTTCTGGCCTGGGAAAAACATATATGTCTGCCAACAACAGCAACAGAAAGCTGCTGGGCACAAGATCCCAAGGCCAAGGCCGTTCCACATTCCTGCCTGTGGCCGCTGCCATGCCCTGCCAGCCCCTGCCAGCCCAGCAGCAGCCTGTGTTGTCCACTCCACCTCCATCTGCAGCTGTGGGGGCACAGTCCCCAAACTGGCTGGCATCAACAGAAGCTAACTGAGCCCACTCCTCTGAGAACCTCCTCACTTGGCCCCGGGAGTTCTGGTTTCAAGCCTGTCTGGTTTGCTGCTGCCCTGCTAAGGCAGGAGGTACACCAAGCCACTCCTGCAGGGGGAGTGTGTGCCCCCCTCCCCTCCCTCCAACCCCCTACTCAATTCCACAAACCAGGAAATTCTCAGGCTGTTTTGGGAAGCAGCTCCAAGACCAGCCTGGAGAGAGGAGACCCCCAGTCCCCCACAGGCCCTCCTATGGGACCTGGGTGTTGCACTGTGGTGGGTCACTTTCTGGCCTTCTGCTCTTCTTTCTTCTCCCTCCCCAGGGTAGCTCATGCCCACTAGAGCTAGCCTGAAGCCAGCCCCAAAGCTCAGGAATGTTACTTACTTTTCTCACCTTTCTGATTGACAGTGGCTGATCCTTGTAGATAGCGAGGCACACAGAGGTCATGCCTTGGCCTTGGTGGCAGGAATGCTGTGCAGAGGTCACCAGGTCTGGGACACAACTGGCGTGGCTAGCTTTTCCGCTGAGGTGGCCACCACCTTTAGAAAGCCTCCAAATCCTATGACACTGTAGCTGGGGATCTATTTTGCTTTTCACTTGCTAATGTCTTCCACAGAGGTACTGGCTGTAATCCTCACTCTGGGAGAGACAGAGGAGCCCGCCCTTCTGTATCCCAAATAGGATGGCTGCTTTGGATGTTCTGAAAACTGCACTTAAAGACAAGTACTCATGCAAGGCTCAACTGGCTGCTCCTTTGCCTGTAAGCATCAGCATCCCATATGGACACCGGTACATGTCCCAGCTGCTCTACTTCCCATCCAGTTCCTTAATAGTCTGGGAAAGCAGCAGATAGCCCAAATGCTTGGGCATCTGTATCCACATGGGAGTCCTGGAAGAAGCTCCTGGCTCCTGGCTTCAGACTGGTCCAGCTCTGGCTGTAGTGGTATTTAGGGAGTGAGTGAACCAGTGGGTCAAAGATCTATTTTTCCCTCTCTTTCCCTGTAATTCTTTCAAGTAAACTAAATCTTTCAGAAAAGGCCAAAGTATGGTACATTACACCAAAGTATGGTGTATGTGAAAAAAATGGGGAGCTCTGCAAACAGAAGGTGCCCTGGGGTAACAGGATGCTGGTGCGGAAACCTTGACTTTTCTACTATGGTCTTACAGTGACACGTGATTTTCTGCATCAAGTGACACAAGCAGGCTGGGCTCTGCTTGCTGTCTGTCTCGTTACATTTTTGATCTGGACCTACCTGTGCTCTGTCCACACAACATCAGATCCAGGCTCACTCTCCGCCCTGCCCCAGCCTGGCCAACCGACTCTGCCTGTCACAGCCCATCTTGACCAAGGAGGAAAGAAACCTTCCCAGCATGGCCACCAGGGAGCAGCCAGAGGCTAGGACATGCCCTGGGGAGGCAGGTGGCTCTTCTCAGGCTGCCAGCAGGCCTTGGATGCCACTCCCCTAGCTCCCCAGGGACAGAAAGGGGGGCAATCACACACAGGGAAGGCTGCACCTGTCCCATTCCACCCCCACCCCCCCAGGGTCTCTAAGGGCTGGGGCTTCCCAGGCACAGCAGACCTCATTCCCCACACTGGTTCTGGGCTTGATGAGGCTGCTCCATGGCCAGGGGCCCAGGCCCACCAGACAGATGGCAGGGTAGAGGGCGTTCCATGTGTTAGCATGTCCCTTGAGAATGATCCAGCCTCTTCCCCGCCCCCTCTCCAGGGCTCTGGAGCTTCCAGCACATTCCTGGCTCCTCAGTAGCTGGGCTAGATGCCGCCCAAGGCCACTGGACCCAGAGAGTGTGGTCCAGCCAAGGACTCACTGGTCCTGTGCTGCCAGCTTCTATCACAGGGGAGGGAATCTTCGCCCCATTTGACAGAATGAGCAACCATCTGCCAGTTCACTTTTGAATGCCCTCTACAGCCAGAAGCTGGAAACTCAATCCCAGTCTCCTGTGTGGGTGGCAGAGACCCGGCCACTGCATCGTCACCACCGCCTCCCAGGGTCGGCATCAGTGGAAGCTGAAGTCAGGAGCCAGAAGTGAGAATTGTGCAGGTTAGCATGAACTGAGGCACCCTGACATGGAAAACGAGTACCTTAACTGGCGTCTCATTGCAGGCTCAGTGCCTGCCTTGGGGCTGATGCGCGGAGCTCCGGAGCTTTTAGTGTGTTCACAGGCTTGTGCTGCCATCATCATGGTCTGTCTTCACCATTCCCAGTGGAACCCCGTGTCTCCTGGCCCATCTTAACCCTCTCCTCCAGCCAAGGCTCTGACAACACCAATTTACTTTCTCCTGTCTAGACCTTTCACAGAAATGCGATCTTGCACTAGGTCAGCTTCTGCGTCTCCTTCTGCTTACCAAAAAATGTGTGAGGTTCGCCATGCTGCAGCATGGGGCAGTGCTTCATCCCTTCTTACTGCAGACAAGCATAGTGTGGGACCAGGGCCTTATCTACACCTGCCCACCTGCTGGTGGACTTCAGGCTGTCCTCACTGTTGGGTCATTACATGCAGTGCTGCTACGGACACTTGCCGGTAGGTCGTGCATCTTGAGTAGATATCCAGAAGTAAAAATTCTCTTTTGAAGGTTTTTAATTTTTTTTTATTAATTTATTTGAAAGGCAGAGGTAGACACTCCATTTGCTGGTTCTATTCCCAACAGCTGCCCCAGGGCTGGATAAGGCTGTGGTGTGGAGCCTGGAACTCCAGCTGCGTCTCTTGCATTGGGCCATCCTCCACTGCTTTCCCAGGTGTGTGAGCAGGGAGCTGGATCGGAGTGGAGCAGCCGGGACTCACGTGAACACTCACATGCCTCACCACGCTGGGCCATGGCTACTTTCCAAAGCAGCTGTCCATTTTACATTCCCAGCAGCAGGCATCTGGGGTTCTAATTTCTGCTTGCCATGGCCTGGAATTATCTTCTTTAGCACAGCCTTTTAGTGGATTGGTGTGGAAATGCTGAGGTTCTTTTTTGCTTGTCCATGGTACTATAATGTGGTTGAGCACCTTCCCAGGGGCTCATGAACAAAGTTATTTGGAGAAATGCCCACTCAAATTGCTGTGTAAAATCCACCTTTATTAATGGGTTGTGAACTATTTACATATCTTACCTACAAATCCCTTATCAGATAGGTGATTGGCAAATACAAAGGGTCTCCATTAACTATGGACTATGCACAGGAACAGTTAACTCCACCTTCCACGAATGTTCTAGGCATCCTTAGCTTCCTGACCCTGACCACAGACACACATTTTCAGTTGTGCTCCATCCCAGCTTCCCTGACAACCCTTGCACTTGGGTGTTACATTCCTGCCTTCCGCATGGGATGCTCGCATGGAATCTTGCCTGGCTCTTCACCCTGGACCAGCTCTGGTTTGGTGCTATTTGCAACCTCTGTTTCTCTGCCTTTTGAGTAAAGATCAGTCGTCGTCTGACTTGAGGTCATGAAGGTGTGTTCCTGTGACTCTACTTTTAGGGCTGGGATCTACCTGGAACTGGTGTTGGTAATGGGATGTGGGGAGTAGGGGTCCAACTTTGTTCCTTTGTGTGAATGTCCAGCTGTCCCAGCTGCTGAAAGAGTTCTTCATTTGGTTATCTTGGCCCCTTGTCGAAAATCATTTGACTGTCAGTGTGAGCATCTATTCCTGGATCCTCAATGCTTTCCCAGTGATTCTAAATATTTTTATCCTGTTTTGACTCAGCAACAGCCGGAGGTTCCAAGAGCTCATTGCCTGGTCCTTACATTCCAAAGCCAACATGAGCAGCCTGGCAGGGCTGCAGCCCCTAGGGCCTGCTCCAGGTGCAGAAGGATGGAGTAGAATGGGGTGCACCGAGGCTTCTACTTCCTGCTTGCCTTCCCTGGGGCAGCAGCTGTCCAGCTGCTGCAAACTGCAGGAATGAGGAGCGAGGAATGGATGGTGGGAGCAGAGGCCACACTCCCTGCCTTGATGGCATACAAGCTGTGGGCCCTTCGGCCTGCTGCCTGCCAACCTTAGCACCTTGCACTGTCCAGCTGCCCTGAGGATCCCATGGTGGGCCTCCTTTAGACTAGGTCGAAGGCAGCAGGGCCCAAAATAGTCATGGAGCAGGAGCACACTCAGAGGAGGGAGGGGGGAAGGCAGAGGCCCAGAACCCCTCTTCCCCTAGGCAGTTTGGATGTACAGCTGGAGAGAAGTCTCCACCCCTCCCCACAGCCCAGCAAGGCTGTTTTGGTGCTGGGGAGTGGGAAGGCATCTGGGAAAGCTGAGATAAGGTAAGAATTTCACAAGCTGTCTGCCAGCCAAGGTCTTTGATCGGAGATTAGCAGCAGTGCCGGAGGAGGCGGGGAGCAGGCAAGGCCAGGCTGAGGATTCAGGGCTGTGGGCAGAGAAAGAAGGCTTCCGGGGAAGTCAGATACACTTTATTCAGTGTGGGAATGTTTGACACAGGGGCCCCTCACAGAACTTCCAACCCCTCGGTGAACCAAGCAGGTGAACAGGGGTGGGAAGGGGAGGAGTGGGGAGAGCTGCACACATGGTCTAGATCAAGTCACAATGGTCAGCGTGGGGTGAAGCTGGGGCCGGTGGCCAAGCCCAGGACTGCCCTGCCTGCAAGTTGAGGGAGCAGCTCCAAGTGGCCGGCCCCCCCCCCGGAATTACAGGGTAGGAAGTGGCCATGGGTAGCGTTATCTGGACCACAGAGGGTGGTGGGGAGGAGTTCGGCTGGGCCAGCACATAATCAGAAGGCCTGGGGATATACAGCTCTGTGCAGGTGCAGGACTGGCAACGCGGGCACCTGGCAGGGTCAGACAGCTCTCAGAAGGACTGGCAGACTTGCTAGTACCTCCCACGGGCCTAGGGGGCGGAGGTAGTTGGTGGGGAAGGGAAGAGGGTGCTGTGGGGGAAGGAGCTGGAGCCAGGCAGGCTGGTAGACAGCAGTGGCCTGGGCCACAGTTTCACACTCAAGACTTCATGATCTGGGTGGCCAAGGTCTGGGGATCCCCCTCAGGAGAAAGTGTCCATCTTTATCCTGAGGGCATGCTTGTGGGCGGGGCCTGAGGGAGGCCCATGTCTGCTGAACCCTTCAGGGGCTGTCTGCATTCCCAGTTGTGCTACACTGTGCTGGGAACAATCAGGGAGGGTTGAGGGGCACTGCAGGGCGGGGCTAGGAGGGTGCTGCTGGGTGTCTAGGGCACCTTGGGGAGGAGTCCCTAGTAATGGCCCAGGTGGCTCCAGCTGAATTCCTGATTGACAAGCACTGGAGGGGACACCCCTTTCTGGATCCCCCTGACTAGAGGAAAACAGCACAGAGAACCTGTTGTACACCAGTCCAGCCATCTGGCAACAGCAGCAGGGGGTCAAGGGTCCCGTGGAGGAGGGCAGCCCTGAAAGCCAGGACAGCAGCTGGGATCATGACACACAGCAAGCTGGGCAGGGGGAGCCAGGTGCCAGGGGCAACACAGGGCCTGGTACCTGGGATCACAACCAACAGGCAGAAGGAACATAACCAATCACCACGCAGGGCAGGAGGGGGCTGGGTCACATCAGCGGCTCACTCATCAAACTTCCCCTCCCGAATGTGCTCAAAGGAGAAGGGTAGGAACTTGAACCCAGATCCAGTGTAGAACTTGTTCTGGAACTCAACCCTAGAGGGAGGGAAGAGGAGGGGTATCACTCACAGAGACCTCCTGAAAGCTGGGGGACATTATAGTGGGGCCAGGAGGATGCCACCGTGGGGCTGTGAGAAGGCCCGGCCCACCCTCCGTGACACGCAGCCATGGGCAGGGTGCTCTCAGGTGGCTGTGCACACACACAAGTTGCCCACATTAAGCCTCACTCTCACCTGTCCTCGTCCCCGCCCTGTATCATGAGGCATGGATCCTGCTTTGTGGCACTGAACCCAAGCCCTTGGCCGATTCCCTGAGAGCCACAGGACAAATCCCAAGGGCCCTCCTGGCAGGGTGCCCACAGCCCACTCCATGGGAAGCCCTGCAGGGAAGCTGGGGCACCTGGGGGTGTCTTGCTTCTCCTTTTCCTTGGGGGAGGGGGTGACACCAAGGGCTGACAGGGTGTGATTCTGGACTGTAGGGTCAGGGAAGGAATTCCGGGCGGGGGGGGGTTCAGGGGAGGGGAGTCCTCCCAAAACAACAGAAGCCTTCTGTGATCACAAAATCATTTGGGAGCTTCTCTCCTGGGGACGAAAGGGAAAAGCTGATGCGAACTGCCTTCCCAGGCATCCGGCATGCATCCCAGCAGGCTCCTTGGGGGCCCTGTCTACTGGGGGAGAGGGAGGGAGAGCAGGAAGGCTGCCCCTCCCGCAGAGCAGTGGGCTGGGTTTCCTCCCCAGGCTTGCCATGGACGGCTGCCCACAGCCAGATCACCACCAAATATGGGCCGAAAAATGCATGATTCAGAGGAGAAAGCAGCGGCGGGTAGCTGCCCAAAGGAATAGTTTCCACTCTGTGACCCGGGGCTCCCTGTGCGGAGCATAGGGGGCTGTGGTAGGCCAAGGCCTCAGCAGGCGAAGGCACCCAGACCCCACCGGTTCCCCTACCTCCCTCAGCCTTTAGCCCCAGCTTCCACCCCCAAATCAGAAGGCAGCGGGTACAGGGGGCGTCTTGGAGCTGCTGGGAGGGGAGTAGGAGCAGATTAATTCTCACAGGGGAGCAGGATTCAGCCCAGCTCCCCTGCTGATAGGAGCAAGTCTGCATCCTGGGGGAGTGGTGGCCACATCTAATAAGAAAGCTTTCGAACAACTGAAAGCAAATTCCCACGACTCAGACCCCAACCTGTGACCCAGGGCAGATGCTGGGGGTGGGGAGGGACTATCCAGGACTGAGCCCCCGGCTGACAATTCACACAGACAGCTCTTACTACATGCGGGCAGCACCCTCTTCCTGGCACCCCTCTGGGGCCTCCTGTAGATCCAGGCTCCATGGGAAGCAAGGGACATGGCACACAGGTTCTGTTGTGAGGGCAGATGGTGGCTGGCCCCTTTAATGGACCACCAATGCCTAGGCCTGTGGTGGCCATAGCTGGGGACTTTGTGCACCGATCTCAGGGTTGGTCACCCAAGTCCCCCTGCCCCATAGCCATCTCCACCCCAACCCCACTGCACAAACCTGGAAGCCACTCCCTGGCAGACGCCCCATCATCCTCTCCCAACCCAGGGAGCAGCACTTCCTGAGAAAGGACAAACACGGAGCTTTCCAGTGCAGGCAGGCCCTTTCTCTCTGCTGGTTGCTGCTCTGCTTGGGCCTCTCTGGGACCTGCATGCACCAAGCCACTGAGATGCCCTGCTGTGCAAATGGGCTCCTCCATCACCCACTGCAGCCTCAGCAAGGGGCCTAATGGGGATCGGGGTGGGGACAGCCCCTGTGGCACACAGCAGCAGATGCTGGCTGGGCCGGCTGGGCTGGCTGGGGCAGCAGGACATGTGAGGCCTCGCCAGCTCTGTGCAGTGACTATTCTGGCTCCTTCCTCAGTGCTGGAAACACATCTGTCTGATGGTGTGAAGGGCAGGGCCTGCCACTGACACTGAACTCTACTCAGGGGTGCTTCCTTTGAGGCCGCCTGCCTGCTCCTGGCTGTCATGTGCGGCAACTCTGTGGCCCTTCTTGTAACCGGGTCCCCGAGCCTGTCTCCTGAACCACTGGCCAGTCGTACATGCACACGTGCTGTAGTCTGCCAGCTGAGCTCTGCTGGCTACAGGTATAGCCATGACACAGCCTGCCTACACCTGCTGAGGAAACGAGGACAGCTGCTCACAGGAGGCAGAAAGGCCAGCACGCCTCACGAGGTCCATGGGACAGGGGACACAGTGAAGAGGGCCGTGGGATACTGTCAAAGGTCACCCACCACTTAGGACCCCCACATGAATCTCAGACAAGAGCAGCCTCTTATCAGATCCAGAGCTTTCCCTGTCAGCCAGCCAAAGAGACAGAATGTATGTCCTGGGGCATCCCAGGAAACACCAAGAAAGCTGGCAGGGGCCTCCAGCCCTCAGCAGGGGAGAGGCCAGCACCCAAGGCGCTCCCATGCTTGTGGGGAGGGGGCACACAGCAACAGTCCCACCACTCCTTCTCTGGTGGTGGGGAAGATACTACAGGGACCCCCTGCCCCAAGAAGGCACAAAGGGGGCCTCACAGATTTTCCTCAGCCACATTGTTTTTCTATGACTAAATGCATAATTTAAGCATGACTCATATGGTGAGCCTGTTCCCCTAACCACACCTGAGGGGGCATTCAGATGCCCTCATGGGGCTCCCCTAGGGTCACCCTTTGCTGTAGTCATCTCTCAAGCAGGACAGCCATGACCCCCACTTGCACCCTTGTTGACAGTGGCCAGGGTGCCACTGTCATGCCACCCAGGGGCATGATAATTTCTGTCTGCCACCAGATTCCTGGTCCCATGGGTATGGTCTTAGAAGTTCAGGTAGGCAGTGTCCTGCCCAGGGGCTCCAGACCATCTGCCAGTATGGCATAGCTGCGGCTCCAGCCCAGGTGGCCGATCTGGAGCTTACCCTGGCCTTCATCCATCTCTCTCTCTTCTCTCTTTCTCTCTCTCTCACACACACACACACTCCCATCCTGGAGGATGTGGGCAACACCTTCACTGGGAGGCGCTGGTGAGCTGAGAGAGCCAAGGACTCAGCAAGGCACGGTCCCTTCCTCACTGACTGGCAGCTCCCCACAAAGTGGGGCGGTCACTGCTCCCTTCAGCTGGGGCACAACAGATAGAGTGAACAAGGGTGGCAGGCGGCCAAGAGGGCTGGGCAAAGTCACCAAGCCTGGCTTCTCAGCTGGCCTTGGCCCGAGCCCTGAGGAAGTGTGTTGGGGAGAGTGGACTGATAAGGAGGGCCCTGATAACAGGTCCTGGCCAGTGCTCTCAGCATGGGCTCTCCTGAGGTCCCCCCACCCCTCGCCACCACTCCACAGTGAACAAGGCCGACAGGGAGTGGGCAGCTTGGAGGGAGGTTGGGTGGGAGAGCTTGGCTGGAGGGGGCAGCCTGAAGCAAGGCCGTGCCTTGCCCTCCTGGGCCTCATTTCTCTCCCCCAGAATTTGGCATCTACAGTGGAATCTTTGAGGAGGCTGAGCTGCAACCCAGCCAGGGTTCAGGACAAATGGAGGGAGGGGGGCAGGGGTTTCCCAGGTGTAGAGGCCTGGGAGGACTGAGACACCAGAAGGCCTCCTGAGGCCCAGAGAGGACCCCACATGGAGGTCACCAAGCAGGCTGCATTACAGCACTGTGAGGAGGGGGGTCTCCCTTGGAGCAGGGGTCCAGGGTCTCAGACCTGGGGGTCTGAGATACTCCCAAAAGAGGGAGAATCCCCACATAACGGAGGGAGTAGCAATCCCCCAGGCGGATGCGGAAAATCCCAGCTCTCTGGATCTGAGTGCATACTCCAAAAATTTCAAGCTCAAGGTACCCTAGTGCCATCTATTCTGATTCATTAAATCTAGCAACCCAAGTGTGAGGTCATGGTCACTGCACACACAGATCTGGCTTTCCCTCATGGGACCAAGATGGGGCCCCCAGGAATCCTGACCCCACAGGGGCACAGCCAGGGGTCGACCCAGAGAGCACTGGGACAGAACGGGTACAGCAGGTGCAAGCTCCTTTCTGGACTTTGGAAATTATTCTAAAATAGCTTTCACTGCTCTTAAGTCAGGACAGTGACACACCAGTGCAAGACACAAACAAGAAGCCTCAAGCAAAAACCACAAGACCTCAGCAGCTCTCACCAGCCACAAAACCATGCAGGCAGGAGCTGGGACCTGACCACACTCGCCAGGGACCTCGCCTGGGAACCTGTGAGTTGGCAAGCTCAGCTCCCCTGGCTGTGCTCAGACCTCATGGCTCAAGCAGGTGCCAGGCTGCTGCCATGAGCAAGTCATACTTCCTGGAGAAGGGACTCAGGCCCACGGCACAACCGAAGAGTGGCCCTGCTGCCACCCCAGGCCCCAGCGCCCCTCACCAGTGCAGCCGCAGGGCGTGCAGGAAGGCCGAGAGGCCCTCCATGATCAGCAGGATGGCCACAGTCAGGGTGGCGAAGGCAGTGAAGATGAAGAACAGTGCCAGGCCTCCTGCCAGGCTCTTCACGCTCAGGCCCAGGTGAATCACCATGGTCCACAGCACCTCGGACAGCTCTGTGGACAGAAGATACAGGATCACGTCACAGGATAGCAGGCGGCGACTGTGGGCCTCGGGGTTGCCTCTCTTGGGATGTCCCCACCATCTGGGCCCGAGTGGGATGACCCCAACTCACAGCCCATCCAGCGGAAGCGCAGGTCCTTTCGGCTGCACTCGTTCTCCCAGCCCGTGGCCAGTCTCATTCCATCTAAGCCGCCCACCCAGGGAACCTGCACAGAAGGCAGCCCACGGCCACGCGTGGAACAGGCACACTCACGTGCATGCGCCAGACTGAGGGCCCAGAGTCGCAGATAGGAGGCAGTGTTGGAGATGCAGCCCAGGCAGTACTCAATAGTGTGGATGGCCTGGTACACCATGGTGTCCCCAAAGTCAAACTGTTGTGGAGGGAACCAGACAGAAGACGTGAGGCCGGGACTGGAAGGGGCAGCAGGGGAGGGAGACTGGCCCAGGGCAGCGGCCTGCCCTTCTCACCCTCTACCTCAAGCAGATGCCTTTCAACCTCAAGTACTCCTCCCTGAGGACGAGGCAGCCACAGGGATCCTAGGGATGGCCTGAGGACCTGCTGGTCTGATTCCCATTCCTGGAGCCTGGCAGAAAACCAGAACTGCTGGGACCAAGTCCCCCAGCCTTAGTGGGAAGCCTCCTGGAGATGTCTGAGACCACCAGGGCCACTTTCCTCTCCATGTTACAGCCTCTGAGAGCCACAAGACCTCCTCTGGCTCGATCTGACCACTCTGCAAAGACAACACAGGGAAACTGTGGCTCAAGTCTCACGGTGGGAATGGGTACATCTGGAGCATGCTCTGCTTCTTACTGCCTGCCTCACGCTCCCTTTCTCTCAGCTTCCCTCCCAACACCAACAGTGATTTCCAGACCGGAGGGGTGCTGGAACCAACTCTGCAAGCCCACAGGAGGACTTTCGGGCGCAGCTTGGGTGACCATGGAGTGTTCTAGAAGTCCTAGGTACTTTCTCTGGCCTCCAGGGGGCAGCAGGTTACCTAGGGCTCCTTTTGGAGAGCAGCCCAGGACTCCCCGATCAGGCAGGCCCTCACATCAAGGTCTCTTTTTTCATTGGTTTAACTCTACTCTACAAGGTCCTCACTGGTGCTTCGGAATCACCCGAGCGCCAGAGGAGGGAAAGAGGCTGGGCCAGGCCAGCCATCAGGGCCTATTTCCCACTCCTGACTTCCCACAGTGAAGTTCTGAGCACTTCTCCTGAGCTAGGCTCTTCAAGTCCAACTATGACCCCAAAAGCTTCGGTTCCCTTAGCCACCCTGAGCCACCTTGGCCAAACCCTGAGGCTAAGAGGCCTTCCCCACTGGCACAGCAGTGGCCCCCAGCTGTGCTGAGAGGGAAAGCCAGCTGCTCTGGACAGCACAGAACTAGGTCCGGAGAGCTTGGGGGCTACCATGGCGGGCCTCCTCCCTCCGCCTTCCCACCCTCCGAGAAGGGGAGGGGAAGGGAAGCACCATCCCAGCAGGGCCCTTGCTGTCCTTCACTCCATCCTCTTGCTCTCCAGCCCTGGGCAAGCTCTTAGGAGGGGTGAGACATGAGAGAAACCCAGGCCTGCACATGGTGGTCTGTTACTCAGCATGGCCTGGCACAAGCCAGCATGTATGAGCCTTGGGTCACTGCAGTTCCTCCCTGCTTGGCCACTCTGTCTCCCTCGTGGCATGTCCCCTCTGCTCCACACACCAGTGACTCTTCTCAGCAGGGTCATGGTGTCTGTTACCATCACCCCCCACCCCACTCTCCTGTCAGTTTTTCCCAGGGGTGCCAGCTTGAAGGTATCCAATCCTTGGGGACCTCTCTGGTCACTCCGGAGAGTGGACATCCCCATATGTGTGCACTGCCTATCCCTGGCCAGCCGTGCTGCCTGCTCCTGCTGTACCAGGGGGGTGTGCCTCCTTAGCACTCAATGCCGCTCACACTCACCTCACGGGCTTCTCTCCTTCACCCGTGCCAAGCCCTCCTCCTACTCCGGTCCCATGTCCACAGAGCAGCCTGGGAAGTCAGACTCCAATTTTCACTCACTCCTGGACTTTTACCAAGGCCTGGGGATCTGCGACTTCCACTTTGCTCGATCTCATATCAGCCCCTTCCTTTCCAGTTCACCCTGGTCCACGGCTCCCCTGAACCCCAGCAGGCTTGGTGGTATCTGGGCCTCCATGCTGCACCCCTGCCCACCCTGCATACCCTGCAACACCATCCCTGGGGATTTCCAGAAACACGTGCATGAAGCTTTAAGGCACTCTGGTCTTACTGCCTTCAATGCTTCCCTGTCGCCCAAATGAGGCAATATCAACAGTGGCTGGGCCAAGCCAAGCTAGACTCCAGCCTCACCCCTGCCCAGTTCCTGAAGTCCTGACTGCACCACAGCCAAGTTGAACTCTGGCCCACCCCGCCACTAAGCTTTGGGGTTACCACCCAGGGAATAGGAATCCCTTCCCTGAACCCCCTTCCCCAGCCTCAGGGTCTGCAGGTACCCCTTCTGTGATCCCCTAGTGCCCTGGGCTCTCTCCCCACCTTGCCTGTGAGATCCTTAAAGGTAAGAGCTTATATATTTTTCTCATTCAGTTTCTAAACAGTGTTTGACACACAGGGTGAATAGATGCAGGAACAGTGGGTAAGCGTCTGGTGGGAAGACACAGTGGGAGACACAGGTGCCATGGACCCTTGCTGCATGGTTAGGATTTCCCAGGTAGCAACTGACTGGTCTCTGGCTTGCAGCCGGCCTGAAAGCCCCCAGGGAAAGACAATACCTCCACCAGACCAAAACAATGGCCTGCGTGGGATGATGTTCGTTGCCATAATGTGGGAAGGTTGGGGGTGGAGAATTTTAAAAGCAGGCTGCATATTTTTAAAAGAACCTGTTTAGTTCAAAATCATTAAGTAATTGTCACACTCATTCTTAGTTAGGCTGGAGGCAAGTGGCCTGATAAAAATGTTACGGCTTCTAAGGCAGCCAAGGAAGTCAAGTCCTTGAGTGGCCGCCTAGGACTGGGGAGAACAAATTAGAGACCTCCTTCCTGTTCCCCACCGTGGACTGGCTGGCTGCAAGTAAGGACACCAGGAGGCCTGAGTGGCTGGATTGCTCTGACAATGACCATGGCACTGGGTGTGTGGCTTGGAAGGCCTTTAAAAAGCAGCACTGCCGGAGGCGGTGATACTAGCAGCGGGCAGGAGCTTCCCCCAGCATGCCAGGCAGCTCAGCCAGCGCCGGCACAGGTGAGCAGCCAGGAACACGATGCCAGCCAAGGAGTCGCTCCAGACCATAGGAAGTCCAGGCACCGCCTGCTGCTACCTTCAGCAGCAAAGCTTCCCCACCCCCAGCCCTCTCTCCCTTGGAGAGAACCACAGAAGGCAGGAAAGGGAAGGGTTTCATTGTTGACAGGTGCAGGTATCTGAGAGAGACAATTTGGGGGAAGATGCAAACAGTGCAGCATGGCCTTAACAAAAACAAACGAACACCAATTCAAAATGTGTGTGTGGCCCAGGGAGTCACTGCTGGGCGAGGCATTCTACTCTAGACAGGGCCCAAATACTGAGCCAATCTCCGTTCCATCCTCCTGTCACTCCCATGCGTGGCTGACACAATAAGCCCCTTGCAGAGAAGGCTTAATTTTTCTGGGAAGGCCTCCCACGCCTCAGCCGGGCCGCTGGGTGACAGGGCGAACCCGGAGCCAGGGGTGGGGATCTTGACTGGAAGTGTGGTCAAGCTGACGAGGGCAGCGGGAAGAGGAGGCTGTGTCTCAGCGAGGAAGGGGAAGCTCTGCTAAGAAGCGCTGAGAGGGGCAGGGAGGAGACAGCCGCCCCCGCAGCCGGCAGAAGCTGCCATGACACCAGAGCAGGAAGAAGGCACAGGCCAACGGCTTGGAAGCCCCAGGAGCACCCGCAAGAAAGCCGCTGCAGCCATTACTCGCACCTCCTTCAAAGCCATTCTCAGAGGTATCAGATCAGCCAAGTCAACGAACGACACAGAGACAGAGGGGACCAACACGAGATGTAGTGAATGGAGATGAGTTTGCTCAGAACACAGGTTCACGAGGGGTTAGAAATGGCCAGTGAGATGCAGGATGCGCGGTGTCAGGTGCAGCCCCGGGGTGCGGCAGGGTCAGCAGAGTGATCACAAGGATGAGGAGAAACCCCAGATACAAGGAAAGACAAAGCCGGCTGGCGTCTTACCACCTCGTCCTCGGTAGGCTTGCAAACATAAATTCACACTTAGTGGGCGGCCACAGCACACACAAGGTCACGAGGGAGGAACGCAAGGCTACTAGCTGCATCTGGGGAAGACTGTCAGTGTGGACCGGGCCTTCCACGTGGGACGGTGGTCTCCCCAGAAATGCACAGGGAAAGCCACAGGCATTCAGAGCAGTGGATATGTGGTTTCTAAAAGGCACCCCCAATCCTTGAAATTTCTTATGTTAAAAAAAAAAACCATACACACAATGAAAGTGGCCAGAGTCCAACTGTGTCCTCAACTCCTACTTGCCTTGTTCAAAAATGTCCCTACATGACTAGATGAGCCCAACAGCGCAGTTAGCTTTGCTCTGAGGTTTTGGGCCACAAGGAGGCCAGGCCAGGAGGGTGATTTTAAAAAGCTGGCTTGGAGATGCTATATCAGGCAAAAGTGTAGCTTGGCTGACTCCTCTGCAAAGTTCCTGCAAAAAAGTAGGGAAACCAGTGGCTCAAACAAACAGGTGCAGCAAGGCCACACCATGGGCTGGGAGCCACAAAGTGCCAGTGGCTACAGAGGGAGAGCAGCATCACTGGATGACTCCTGCAAGGATCTAGGGTTGAAGAAAGTAGCCAAGTGAGGTGGCCTGGCATCCAGTGACAAGAGCTGGGATATAGGGGCCTGGGGCTGTACGGTGAGCTGGGCATTGAGACACCTCGGGTGCTAAGGGCAACACTTGCAGGCTGGGGCAAGTCTCTGGAAAAGGCTGTGGAGCTCTGAGAGGCCCAGAAAGCAGGACTAACTCCGAGCATTCCTATTTCTCATGGAGAAGACTGGTGAGAGCCCCTCGGCTGCACAAGGGCTGGCCCGAGGTGGAGGGAGAGGAAGCCCCCAGCACAGGATCTTACCTCTTCCGCGTCCTCTGAGTGGGTGGAGAGCTGGTCATGCTGAATAATCTCAGCATCCTCCTCTGTGGGTCCATTGCCCACCCTGATCCCACCAAAGTTGAGAGTTCCCTACACAGATGAACAGAAAGAGTAGAATTTGCCTGGGCTTTAGTGTGCCGTTCTGTGAGGTGGAGAAGGGCGATGGTTAGTACATACAAACCTCAGAGAGGCATAGATTCCAACAACCAAACAGGACCCATACCTGCTCCGGCCCCAGCCACCTCCTCCCCGGTCCCAGTCCCAGCCCCGCACACCCAAAACCTATGTTTCCCAGGTCCGCTATGTGCACCAAGAACACCAATGCGGCCTTAGTCACGCTGCTAACTGGGACTCCTGCCTGAATGAAAAGCCAAGTGCGGCTCTCTGTGAAGCCTAAGCTTTCCTGGAACAACAGATCTGCCTGTGCAGGCGGGACCCAGGCTGCCTGCAGCAGGAGCCGAGGCAAAGCACAGTGGCTCTGTCCAGGAACAAGGAGCTGTCTGGGTCAGGGAAGGAGAAAAGCTTAATGACACGTGTCTGTGGCTAGAGGACACTGAATGAAAAACAAACAACAGGAGTCCCATTGCCCTCAGTGTGGGAATGTGGGGCGTGAAAGCCCCCCACCCCATCCCCTACCCCCACAACACAGGCATGGTACTGACTGAGCAGGATTGTAAAGTCAACTGGATGCAAAAAACCATGAGCTTATTGAGGCCAACAGACCCTTTGGGGACAAAGCGCAAACAGAAGCTGATCCAGTCTGAGAGGTCCCGAGGGGTGCTGCCCTGCCATGGAGGCAGAGGGACTTGAGGACAGCCCCATGGCCCTGTCCCCCACAGAGCTGGGCAGGAGTCAGAGCTGCATGAGGGCCTCTGGGAAAGTGGGCTTGGTCTGCTGCCCTGCAGGCCCCACCCTCAGCTTCACCTTGTGGGGCACATTGCCTACCACACTTTCACTCCAGCCCACTCACCAGTGCAGACCTCAGGGTCTGTGCAAATGCTGCCTCTTCTGGCGGTGGTCCTCATGCACTGGCTAGAGAGTCATCTGCACAGCAGTGACCTCCGAAGCTGCATTCTGAGCACAGGGGCTCAGATACTGCCCCCCCCAGGTAAATTTGGTAGGGTTGGGGTGGGGCCCAGGGACTCCACATTGCCAAACAGTTTCTCCAAGCACCCAATGTGTGATCAGTGTGAAGGGTCTGTCAGGGTCTGCAACCACATGCTCGTGCGACCTGGTAGCCCCACAGCTGGGACAGCTATACTTGTGGGACTGACAAGACATATGGCCAAAGATGCTCCCCACTGTGTTGTTTGTGATCACATACAATTGGGAACAACCAACATATCCAACAACAACAGAGCAATGACATAATTTTGGCATATCCAACAGAATATTTCATGGACTGCTGGGCCACCACCAAAAAGTGATTCTCACTACAAGACAGCCTCTAATATACCCTCAAATGTTTAAAGGCCGAGTAAATCCAGGGGAAGAGAATGCAATGCTACAGTTTAAAACACAACTCCTAACATGGCTCTGGCGCTTCACATACACAGCAGAGTGAGGGTCAGTCAGGTGCAGTCTCCAAGCGAGATGCTACAGAGGGTCCCTTCAGAACACTAGGAGTGAGAGTAACAGGAAGGGGGCTGAGAGACACAGCAGCAAAAAGGGGAAATGGGGTAGTGAAATGCCACTCACAGACACCCTGTGGGTGAGGAACGGAAGCCGAGCAGAAAGGGCAACCCAATGCTCTTCTGAGAACCGCCTCTGAACTGCTCTCTGGGAACACGTCTGGCTGGACAAGGTGGGAAATAAAACCTTACCAGACCGGGGTGGGGTCGGGGAGGCTTTGAACTTGCAGTTGATCTGAGAAGTGGCCAGAGTTCAGAGACTCAGGTTCTGTTCAGAAGCACACGTACGGACACTAAGCAGCAGAAAGAGTGTGCAAAAGAAATGTCAGGATGGTGGTTTGTGCTTCAAGGGTTTTTAATTCCTTGCGGGAAAGAGAGGCCAGGCCCCTGCTTGAGAACAACCCTTAATGGCAAGACTGTCATTTCCTGGGACCCAGGAGATCAGGGTTCTAGAAGGACAAGGAAGGAGCTTTCCAACTTCAGAATGATCGGGAACAACTAGTGGAGGAAGCAGCAGCCACATCATCTCTCACTTTCATTCAAGGAGCGTACACCACTATAAGTGCAAGTGCACAAGCTGGGCAGATCTGGAAAACTTAGATTCATAACTTAGAAAACGATGGATCCATCAGATATGAATGCAGCCTGAGACTTTGGTTAAGGGATATTTCTAAGGACAAATGCTCAACATTCAGGTATTATTACTGAATCATAGGTTAGTGCCCAAAGAAGCAAAGTCAAGATGGGTGTCTCTGATTATAACAGGGATTCACAGAACACATGAGGCCCCTGGCAGAGTGGGGGCCTCACACAGACAGCAGAGGATTTGAGGGTTTCTGAGTGTCCCCAAAAAGAGGAAGAGAGAATACACCATCATAAATGTGAAGAGAGAGTCACTGCTCACAGGGCCCCGTGGCCACCGTCCCTTGTGAAGGAGAGCTCAAGGTACAAAGAGCTCAACTGAAGACAAAATCATCCAACACATGACCATGAAGCAGAGGCATGAAAGCAGTGAGCTGTCATGATGAATTAAGAGGACGGGCAGCAGCCACTTCGCTCCCACGGACACAATGGCACTCACATATCCTAACAGAAACTTGGATCACCAGCGAAGAGGACACCAGAATTGATTCGAGAGGTCTGTGCTATGGAGCAGCAGGCTGAGCTGGCATGCCACACGAGCACCAGTTTGAGTCCCAGCTGCTCCATTTCTGATCCAGCTTCCTGCCAATGTGCTTGGGAAAGCTGTTCAAGCACTTGAGCCCTTGCACCCATGTGGGACACCTGGATGGGGTTCCAGGCTCTTGGCCTTGGCCTAGCCCAGACCTGGCTGTTGCGGCCATTTGGAGAGTGAACCAGTGGATGGAAGGTCTCTCTGATTTTCTTTCCCCCTCCTCCCCTCTTTAACATTGTCTTTCAAATAAAATAATTTTTTTAGAGGCAGAAGAATCTACTCTTTAAGAGGTGGCAATCTCTTCTGTCATCATGGTTTTGGTGGGTAACAAGGACACACTCTATGAGAGCGCATGCCCCATGATCTCTGTATGGTCCAAAAGAATGCTGCTGCACTGTTTGCTGCTCGGTAAGCCAAACGGGACACTTTGCGGGGTTTAGTTCACTCACTGTTGCAGCCGTTGCTGCCTCTAGTGCCTGCTGGGTCGGGGCTGGACTGACTGGGGCCGCCACAGGTTGCCCTTCCTGATAGTGATGGGAAGAAAAGAGGAAGGGAGAAGAAAACAAATGGGGGAGCGGGCGAGGGGGGATGAATGGAGGGCACATGGGAGGATGAAGATGGTCAGAGAGGGGAGAAGGAGGGGCTCGTAACTCAGCTGCTCTCCAACAGGAGGGACCGTCCCCACAGGGGCACTCGAGTTTGCATGCACCAGGGTCACTGGGCTTTCCCAGGCAGTGTGATATGCAAGCATTATTGGATAGCCAGAAATTATGCACAATACTGAAAATTGGGCACACTTAACATTGTGTGTATATGTAGAATTTGTATGTACACATACACGAAGTAGGAACATAGACATACACTACTTTTTTAAAAAGTAAAAAACAAAAAACAAAAATGCATCAGCATGCTTTAAACCAAACCGTCTGACCAGCTGTACTGGCTGGGAAAAGTGTCAGTGTCTAGTTTCACAAGACGTGTGAGGGTCAGTGCTGTGGCTGCCTGGGCAAGCCACCTGGGTGACTCAGCCGCCCGTAGCTCCTGCAGGCTGGCCTGGGCCTCTGCCGCCTCGAGTCAGGCCTGAGCCTGGATGTTGGCTTCTGCTGAGCACAGCAGGAACAAAGCAATACAAAAGCTTAGGACTCGCTGCTTTAGCTCAGCCACGCAGTGCTGAGTCCAGACGTGTGATGGGCAAATATACATTTCTCTCCTTGAGCACACGCAGTGTTCCCTCTGGGCTGTTAACACCATGCACTCTGAGAGGCCATAGATTCAGGCACAATGACTCAGATCCACTGGGAAATTGCTTGGATCTTAAAAAAAAGGCAGTCTGGTTGCTTTAGCAACAGAAATATACCCACCAAATGCTTCCTCCTCAGATACTGATGGCGAAGGACCAGGGGCTTAAACAGCAGCATCCAAGGGACACACAGCAGTGCAACCACCACCAGGAAACACTGAATTCCTTTCTGCCAAGTAAAAAGAAAATAAAAATGAACATCACAGGAATATCCACTACATGGGATGTTGCAGCACAGTGTGTTAAGCCATCGTGTGGGACACCAACATCCCACGTTGCATGTGGATGTTCAAGTGTCTTGGCTGCTCTACTTCTGACGCAGCTTCCTGCTAAGCTGTGCCTGGGAAGGCAGCAGATGATGCACTAGTAAGTAGATCCTGTTGCTCATATGAAAGACCCAAAGGAACTGCAAGCTCTGGACTTCCGCCTGTCGCAGCCCTGGCTGCTGTAGGTAGCCGGGGGAGTGAACCAGTGGAGGAAGAGCTCTTTCCCTCTGCCCCTGCGGTCCCTCTCTGAGTCTGCATTTTAAGTGAACGAAAATAAATGCTAACTTTGTTGTGTGAATTTATTCAAGAAGCAGAGTTTCAGAGACAGGAGGACAGTCAGAGAAATCCTCCATCTGCTAGTTCACTCCCAGAAGGGGCACAACAGCCATGGTTAACCAGGCCAAAGCTAGGAGCCAGCAGCTTCTTCCAGGTCTCCCACATGGGTGCAGGGACCCAAGCCCTTGGGTCATGCTTCACTGACTTCCTAGGTACATTAGCAGGGAGCTGGATTAGAAGTAGAGAAGCTGGGACTTGAACTGGCACCCATATGAGATGCTGGCATTAGCAGGCACAGGTTTAGCATGTAACACTGCAACAATGATCCCTAATTTTTTTTAAGTTCACTATTTAAATATGCAGCTTCTGATGCTGGCACAAATTTACCCCAAACAGTGTGAATGCCACTGATCTATAAATACCACTAATTTCTCAAGATAACTAACAGATGCTGTGGCAAAACCCACAGATCATTAACTCCACCCTTTCTTTCTGGATCCCGCAATGTGAGCACAGCAGAGCCTTGCAAGCTACGGAGGATGGTCAGGATTCAGATCCAGAAGCACGGACTAAAAAGCAAAGACCAGAGAACGATATTTCTAGACTTTCTTTAGGGTGATCCAGAGGGCCCACTTTCGCTGACGCACCTGTCCAGAATACAGCATCGAAGCACCAGAGTCCGGGTAAGAAAAGAGGAACATGTTAATGAAATGGATCAGAAGGCTCGGCGCGTGCTCAGATGTGTGTGCGTCGTAGGCTGTCCACTTATAGAAGATGAGGATGACCAGGTAGCCAAATAGCGAGGTCATGAAGATTATTTCAGGAATAAAGCCGAAGTAGATATTCAGGGATTTCTTGAAGTAGCTAACGAGGAGGGAAAAAAAAGAATGCTACAGGTAAAGAGACCCACAGCCACTTCTGCACACAGCTCAGTACTCCTCAGACTTTTCTGTCGCAGCAGCCTGAAGCTTTGGAGGCAACACTGTGCAGGATTAACTGCTGCCTCCCGACATTTGCACTCAGAGTGGCCCTGGTGGAACCCCCATAAAAATATTTATTTATTTATTTTATTGGAAAAGTAAATATGCATAGAGAAGGAGATACAGCAAGAAAGATCTTCCATTGGTTCACTCCCCAAGCAACGGTAATGGCCAGAGCTGAGTCAATCCAATCCAGGAGCCAGGAGCTTCTTCCGGGTCGCCTACGTGGGTGCAGCGTCCCAAGACTCTGGGTCATCCCCCACTGCTTTCCTAGGTCACAAGCAGGGAGCTGGATGGGAAGTGGAGCACCTAGGACATGAACTGGTACCCATATGGGATCCCAGCGTACGAAAAGTGAGGATTTTAGCCACTAGGCTATGGCACCGGGCCCTATTAAGTTAAAAAAAAAAATTCTGAGGTACTGGCACAGTGGTGTAGCAGCGCCAAACATCCCATCTGGGAAGCAGTTCTAGTCTCAGCTGCTTCACTTCTGATCCAGATTCGTGCTTATGAACTGGGACAGTGGCAGAGAACATCTCGAGTCCTTGAATTCCTGCACCCACATGGGAGAGCTGGAAGAAGCTCCAAGCTTCTGGCTCCTGGCTTTGGATGGGTCCAGCTCTAGCTATTGCAACCACTGGGGGGAGTGAACCAATGGATGAAGATCTCTCAATCTCTTCTCTTTGTAATTCTGCCTTCTCAATTAAATAAATCTTAAAAAAAAAAAAATCAGTCTGAGAGGCAGAGAGCACATTCACTGGGTCACTCTAAATGTTTGTAGTGGCCTGGGGCTGGGAGTCTCCCAGGGGATGGCAGGAGGGTAGCTGCTGTTAGCACTCCTGCCCGCTGGGGCCTGTACTGGCAGGAAGCTGGTGCCAGGAGCAGAGCCGGGAACCCTAACCAGCAGCTTCCCAGTAAGCCAAGTGCCTGTCTCAGGGCCGCATGTCTACAGTGCAGGATGGGGTCCCTCGTTAGTAAGCCCCCCACAATACGCTGTGATTCTTCGGAGAGGCATGCACCAAACGCCACACCCACTCTGCACCAAAACGGCAACTCACATGTGGTTGAAGAGGCTCAGGCTGACGCCAAACAGCATGTGGATGATGCCGAGGACCACGGACATCTTCATCTTGAAGGAGTTGAGGAAGGTCAGCTTATTGGTAGCAATGTTCCAGATCTGCCAGCACCCGAGAGAACAAGAGGTATCACAAAGAATTCTCAGAGGGAAGAATACTGCATGTCGGTTTAAAAAGCTTTTTGCTTTATACTATGGACAATTCTAAACATGTACTCCAGTAGACAGAACCGTGTAACAATCGCCCAGCTTCAACATTCATTCTCAACTCAGACTCATACCCATCGTGTATCAACAAACCCACCTTCAGCTCTGTATCAGAATTCAGATACCATGTCATTTTATCTGTAAATATTCCAGCATGGCTTTATAAAAGGTAAGGCCTCATTTTTTTTAATGACCATGCTACTGTCATCAACAAAAAAGCATTAACAATTATTCTTTCATTAAAGATGTATCTATTTATTTGAAACAGCAGCAAAGAAAAGGAGAGGAACACATACAGAGGTGGGTAGGAAGATAGGCACAGATCTTCCACCCACTGTTCACACCCTGAATGGCCACAATAACCAGGGCTGAACCAGGGCTGAGCCAGGAGCCTAGAACCCCACCCTGTACTCTCACTTGGGTGGCAGGGCCCAGGCACTTGGGTCATCACCTGGTCTTTGCCAGGCACATCAGCAGGAGTGGAAGTGGGCTGGAAGTGAAGAGGGGTCTTGATCCCAGGAACAACAACACAAAATTTTGGCATCCCCACAGGGGGCTTAAGCTACTGTGCGACCGTGCCCTTCACCCAATTTTTAAAAGAAATTCATTCATTAAAGCAGACAACACCCAGGCCCAGGCCTGATGTAGTCCTAAGTCTCTAACCCCTTTGCTTTTCCTTACGGGATGGTCAGCTTGCTCATTCTGTAGTGTTCCCACTGTCTGTGAGCTGCCACTCCCGCCCTGTGGCACTGCAGCTCCATCCGGTTTGAAGCCTTGGCTCTTGTCACCTGCAGCCTGGGACACTTTCCTGACAGTTTTGACTTAGCCAACAGCTCATGTTTGCCAAATAATGACCCTCATTTAACATTTTCCTGCGATTTCCTTTTGCCCGTGTTGGAGACCCACATGGAGTTCCCAAGTCCTGGCTTCCTCCTGGGTCAGCTCTGTCTGCTGTGGGAATTTGGAGAATGAGCTAGTAGATGGAAGATCTCTCTTTTCCTCCCCTTCTTTCTGTCACACTGCCTTCTAAATAAATGTTCAAAAAAAAAATCTGCTGGGCCCGGCGCGGTGGCGCAGTGGTTAAGGTCCTCGCCTTGCACGCCCGGGATCCCATATGGGCGCCGGTTCTAATCCCGGCAGCCCCGCTTCCCTTCCAGCTCCCTGCTTGTGGCCTGGGAAAGCAGTCGAGGACGGCCCAAGGCTTTGGGACCCTGCACCCACGTGGGAGACCCGGAAGAGGCTCCTGGCTTCGGATCGGCATAGCATCGGCCCGTTGCGCTCACTTGGGGAGTGAATCATCGGATGGAAGATCTTCCTCTCTGTCTCTCCTCTCTGTATATCCGCCTTTCCAATGAAAAAATAATAAAAATAAATCTTTTAAAAAAAAAAAATCTGCTGAAGAAAGAATAAGCAAGCACAAATAGGAATCTGGAGGAGTCTGGAATATCTGCCTCCCCTGGGTTAACACCTGTGCCACCTCAGAAAGAAGTGGCGTGGGAAGAACACAGACCTGCCCCCCAGTCTACTCTTCCCCACCCCTCCCCAAGACTCAGACCTCCAATGGCTTTGAAGTACCCTGAGCAAACACATCAAGGTTTTCTGTCAACTGAAAACCAAATCAATAGTTATTTTCACTTCAGTTTTCTCACTTCAGGGTCAGAGTGAACACACTGAGGGTTGACATATAGCAAAGGAGTTGTTACCGGATCAATGCCGAAAGGGTACGGTCCACCGAAAACACCAGGGACAGACGGGTTCAGCTGGAGTACAGGATTTCCCCGAAGCGTGTCCTCCCTACACACGTGGGGAAAAAAGTCATGCTTAGTTTTGGTCAAAAGCAGGAAACTATTGGGGTTCAGAAGTTGATCCCAAAAGAAATGACAACAGCTAATTTACAAAGAGGAGGTGTTAATAGTCAAGACGACAAAATGAAAAATTAACACTTTTAATACACTTTCCAGCTACATCAGGAACACATGCACCTAGCTGACATTCTAGGTTCCCTGACCCTTGCTGGACACATCCCAAGGCATGGTGTGGGCTGAAGCACAAACCTCAGAAGACCCTACATTCTTCTGGGGTGGGCTTGGACAACTGCTCCAGAAGGAAGGAGTGTTAGGTCACCGTGTGTCTCACAAATCAGGGAGGGATATGAGAACCACAGGTTTTCACTGTTAGCTTTTCCATAACTTACGTCCAATTATATATAGTGAACATTGGTCGTACACTCCAGGATGACCCAAAGATGTTCAGAGACTTGGAAAAGCAATCATTGTAGATGAGGCCAGTGTAGATAGAGAACACGCCCATCAACAGAATAATGTAGCGGCCACTGAACACAGTGCTGAACATCTGGGGACCAGAAAGAAGAAGGAGTGAGAACGGACTCCCTGCAGCTCATGATGAATGTCACTTAGAACATACTAGCCCCTGCCTCCCACTTTACTGTGCTTCACCCTGGTTCAAGGAGCTTGAGGCAGATGCCAGAGGCTAGACTGTAACACCAATGAGAAATTCCTGAGAAATTCACTTATAAAACACACGGCCTCATACTCAACATTTGTAGTTCCTTTTGGTAAACGTACGGATCAAAGACTTCTGCATCAGAGTTTCCAGAATGAAAGCAAGAGAAACAACATGAAAAACATCACCTCGTTCTCATTCTTCTGGGAGAGGATCCGGCTCTCCCTCAACACCATCCACACCGCAAAAAGAGTCATCAAGATGCCATGGCCGAAGTCTCCAAACATCACAGCAAACAGGAAGGGGAATGTGATGATGGTATAGGGAGCTACAAGGAGACCCAAGGAAGAAACAAGTTACACGAAACCACAAGTCCCCAAAGGTCAACCTGGAGCCACTCGGTCCCCCGCCACTGCATAGAGGGACGTCGGGCAGCTCTTTCAGGGCAGGCTCTGCCCCCGTCGCATGGTGGCTATGGGGATTTTGAGCTCCTGCTAACATTTTAAACATAGATGAGCACAGGGGATGAGCATGTAGCCCCAGTGAAGCCAGCTTTATCCTTCAGTTCCCTTCTTCTAACCCCTGGGACACTGCTCCAAGGACAGGCCAAATGTGCTCTTGTGGTACAGCCACGTTTTAAGATTTACTCTTATTTGACAGGCAGAGAAGAGGGGAGAGGGAGAGGAGGAGAAAGGAAAAAGAGGGGAAGAGGGAGAGAGAAGGAGGGAGACATAGAAATCTACCATCGGTGGTTCCCTTCACACAAGTCTAGCCCAGGCTGAGGCTAGAACCTTGGAAATCCATCCAGGACCCCCAACACGAACGGCAGGAGCCTAAGTATTGGGCCATTATCCACTGCTTTTCCAAATACATTCACAGGGAGCTGGATGAGAGGCAGAACAGCCTGAATGGAACTGGCACTCGGATGTGGGGTGCAGGTATTGCAGGTGGCGGCTTAACCTGAGCACAGCACTGGCCTTGGGACCATTTCTGAGCTGAGTAGCAAGAAGATGGGGAACCCACGGCTGAAGCAAGGCAGGGTGTACAGAAGCTGCTAGTTGAAACCAAATCCTGACTTCATTTAATCATTAACTTTCTTTTTTTTTTTAAAGATCTATTTATTTTTATTGGAAAGTCAGATATACAGAAAGGAGAGACAGAAAGGAAGATCTTCGGCTGTTGATTTATTCCCCAGGTGGCCGCCAATGGCTGGAGCTGTGCCAGTCTGAAATCAGGAGCCAGGAACCTCTTTCGGGTGTCCCACATGGGTACAGGGTCCCAAGGCTTGAGCTGTCCTCGACTGCTTTCCCAAGCCACAAGCAAGGAGCTTGAGGGGAAGCAGGGCTGCCGGGATTAGAACTGGTGCCCATATGTGATCCTGATGCATGCAAAGTGAGGACTGAGCTACTGTACCAGGCCCTAATCATTAACTTTCAAACAAAGAATCAATCTGCCCTGGTCCCAAAACATTAAAATGTTGTCTCAGGGCCAGCACAATGGCTCTGGCTCCTCCTCCACCTCTAAGCACCGGGATCCCATATGGGCACTGGTTCATGTCCTGGTTGCTCTACTTCCCATCCACCTTCCTGTCTATGGCCTGGGAAAGCAGTCAAGGATGGCCCAAAGCCTTGGGACCCTGAACCCGTGGGAGACCCAGGAGAAGTTCCTGGCTCCTGGCTTTGAATCAGCTCAGCTGCAGCTGTTGTGGTCTTCGGGGAGTGAACCAGCAGATGGAAGATCCTTCTCTGTCTCTTCTCTCTATAAACTCTGTTTCCAATAAAAATAAATGTTTAAAAAAATCTCATCTATCTTTCTATCCTATTGCAGGAAGGCCACAAGAAGCCATTTATAGACACTAGGTATCTTAGAAGAAACAGTTTTCAAGTGGTTTCCATACACTACTTCTGGAGAAAGTCAGGAGTTAGTAGCCCCTGGGTGACGAGCTCCCCCAACCTCTCCTCGAGAGGTGTTGATACTCCTACCCCCTACACCCATGGTTACCTCCCAGGGATCCTATAACAGCTGAGATCAACTGCTGTAAAGCATCAGTGAGGAATTAAAACATACACAAACAAGAAGTCCTGGAGGGAAAGGACTCAAGCTGCCTTACCTGGATTTATCTCTCGGTAAGTTCCAATTCCGTAAGCATCGACCAGGTTCTGAAAGCCGCATGTGAACTTGTTGGTTTTGTTATAGGTTGGGGGAGTCTGGTTTGTCTGCATCCGGTTCAGAATGGAGGGCACGGTGGAGCCACTGTGTTCCTGGAGACACCAGCACAGACATCAACATCAGGCTGGCTTCCTGCTACTGGTGCTAGCCACACAGGTGAGTCTATCAAAATTCATCAAGCTCTACACATGAAATACATGTCTTTTATGTGCAAATTGTTATCCTAATAAAACTAATTAAAAAAAAAAAACAAATTACAGGCTATTTGCCCCTGCATTTAGAGAACTGGGATGAGGTATAAGATGTACATTGGCAGATTCCAATGAAGCCTTGGGAAGTATATGGTCTCCCTGAAAGAAAATGTGTCAGCAGAGCCAATGGGAGCCCTCCTCTGCAGCTGAGTACTATCATTCTCTGTTCCTCTCACAGCGAAAACACCCTTTACTCTCTTCCCCCAAATCTGTACCGCGTGTCTGAGTGTGTTTATTCAAAGTGGGCTCATTACTCCATCCAAGGTTCTTTTTCCTGTAAGCAAATCACAGGCCCTGCGGATCTGCCTGCTTAGGGAAAGTGCCTGTATCCCTCAGACACCCCATCCTGGCCATCAGCCTCTGTTGGCTTTCTCTTCTGCCTAAGGGCCTTGCTTTCTGTACTGTTGTCCCTGTCCCCTTGGTTGTCTCTCGCCAGTCTCACTCCTTTAGCTTTGTCCCATGGGGACTTTGATCTAGCACCTCCGTACAGCTGCAACTGAATATACGCTCCCCTGTCAGTTAAGACTGTGGGGAAACTTGACTACCATGAAGGGAACCTACATCCTCCTCGTTAACTACTTGAATCTGTTCTCCTTGCTCCTCCTGCACCTGGCTAGGAGCACAGCCCTTCCACCAGCCCACTACTTCCTTTTCCCATTGTCAAGCCCTATCTTGGAGGTCACTTATATGTTTCTGATAACCTCCTAACTGACCCCCACCCACACACCCTCTTCCCTAGAGATCAGCAGCAGATTCATCTTTTTTTTCTTTTTATTCTTTTAAAACCACATTAATCACATCCTTTCTCTGTTCCCGCTGGGATTGGATCTAAACCCTCTAATCTGTTTGGTTAGCATCTTCCTAATCAGGTTCTAATTCATTGCTGTAGGCCCACCTCCTGTTCTTTGAGCCAGCCCATTCCAGTTCTTGTTCTTTCCCAACCACGTCCTGTTGCACCGTATTTCCTGCCTTTGTCCATGTTGTTTTCCTCTCCTCATTACCCATTCTTCAAAGTCCTCATCAAATGGCACCTTCCTGAAGCTGTTCCCAGACCCCACAGAGGGAGAAGCTCCACCCTCTCCATATATGTGCCACTCTTGGCACAGTCTGTCTCGGGGTCGGCATGTCACCCTCTTCCACTAAGCCACAAGAGGCTCACGGCCCTTTCCATGCCCCTCCAGGCTCTCAGAGCAGTGTCACAGCTCAAGCAGCTGCTCCAACCGAAATTAACATGTAAGCAAATAGGGGATGGGTCAGGAAACTGATGCCCAGGTCATGAGCTACCCAGAAAGATCAAGGGCCTCTGATCAAATCATTCACCTCCGTAAAGCACAGCTTCCCCAAGTGCAAAACAGGGCTCAGACTCCAGGCTACGTTAGAAACCTACCAGGGTATGAAGTGAACACATTAAAGAGCTCTGTCAGTAAAAAGGCCGCTACCCTGGAGACACAAACCCGTGGGACCCTCTCATCCTGGACAAAGACCAAGCTGCCAGCCCGGGGTCTTACCGTGCCTCTTCTGAGTGCAAACTGGATGGAGTCGAGGTCAGTGACGGGACACCACACTTCCGCAATCAGGCACTTCTGGGTCACATCTATGTTGCACAGGTTCAGTGTGTGGTAGATGGCTTTCATCTTCCGCACCTTGATGAACCAGACCCGGATGTTCTTAGCCGCTGCCTGCAGAACCCGCTGGCGGTGATCCTCCGTTTGATTCAGAACCTTTTGGAAGAGGAACAAGGGAGAGAGCCTTCTAACCCCAGGCTTGGAGCTAAGGGTATGAATGGTGGAAAGGCCATTCTTTCCCTAAAGGAAAAGACAGTCGGAGAACTGTCTTCTGCTCTGGCTAGCTCACACACAATCAGGTACATGTATTTGCAAAACTACACAAGATGTGAGTTAATAACATTCATTTCCATTGAGCTTCACGTTGAACACAAGTAGGGGAAAATGATTTTTGCTTCTCTCTTTATATTCAAACTAAATTCCAACGCAAGGCAAACACATGTAGGTTACCAGCTGTAACTGAATCTCAGAGCACAGGCCCAGGAGCTGTCGAACACGCAACGCACAGTCCAGAGCAAGCTGCAGGAAGCCTTGCCCATGAGCCAGCACCAGGGCTCTGTGGGAAACTCTGCCTGCCAGTGCCAGCCCTGAGACACTTGGACTCAAGGGCACCTCAGGGGTGCCACGGTAGCTTCCATGGCATAGGCCCTCACGGCCTGTGGCCCCCATGGTGGCAAGCCCTCACAGCAGCAGGGTCTCAAGGCCTGTGGCCCTCACGACATGGCCACAGGCCCTCATGGCACGGTGGCAGGCCATTACGGCCTGTGGTCTTCACAGTGGCAGGCCCTCACAGTGACAGGCTCTGGGCGGCCTGCGGCCCTCACTGAGGCAGGCACACCATTACCCTTCTGTCTGGCTTCTCAGAGGAAGGAGGCTTTAGTGTGACTCCTTTAGGAAACCAGTGCAGAGCTCCTCAGAGGAATCACTGCCAAGATCAGGGTGAGATGAAGGGGCAGGGATATTTCACATTCCATTGCCTTAGTCACCACCGAATGCTGCAAGTTTCCAAAGCTAGAAAGGCTAAATCCTTGGCTTGTAATGGGGAGGGATCAGGCAAACAACTCACCACTCACATTCCTATGGGAAAAGCTATTTGAAATCACATCTTGGGCCCAGCGGCGTGGCCTAGCGGCTAAAGTCCTCACCTTGAACGCGCCAGGATCCCATATGGGCGCTGGTTCTAATCCTGGCAGCTCCACTTCCCATCCAGCTCCCTGCTTGTGGCCTGGGAAAGCAGTCGAGGACTGCCCAAAGCTTTGGGACCCTGCACCCATGTGGGAGACCCGGAAGAAGTTCCTGGCTCCTGGCTTCAGATTGGCATAGCATTGGCCGTTGCGCTCACTTGGGGAGTGAATCATCGGACAGAAGATCTTCCTCTCTGTCTCTCCTCCTCTCTGTATATCTGACTTTCCAATAAATAAATAAATTAAAAAAAAAAAAAGAAATTTCCACATCTGTCTGAAAAGAGCCACACACTAACCACATTAGTTAGTCAAGTCCCACCATAGAAGGTTCTTCAAGCCAGTTCAGGACAAAACAGCAGCTACCCCCTGAGAACCTTTTGGGTCGAGGCAGGTGGCTTCCCCAGACAGCCTACCACGACCCACTCTGAAGCTCTTGTGTCACTTGAGAACAGCTACTTCCCCTCCCAGCTGCTAACCATTTCACAATCACTTTGTAGCCCTCTAGAAGGGCAAGCTTGCAAGAAACCCTCTATTGGGTTTTCTCTTTCCCCATCCTACTCCATGGTACTTTATCCCTTTCTAAAGATCCAGTTGCAGAACCAGCACCAGAGCCAGCACCGTGGTCATGGCATGTTAAGCAGCCACCTGCAATGCAGGCATATCACATGGGCACTTGTTTGAGTCTCAGTAGCTCCATTTTCTGACTCAGCTTCCTGCTAATGCACCTAAGAAAGCAGCAGAGGCTAGCTCAGCTGCTTGGGACCCTGCACCCACATGGAAGACCTGGAAGAAGCTCTTGGCTTCTGGCTCTGGCCTGGCCTAGCCTTGGCCTTTGGGGAACGAATCAGTAGATGGAAGATCTTTTTCACATGCTCTCTGTAACTTTGCGTTTCAAATATTTTTAAAAACTTATTATTTATTTGAAAGACAGACAAAATGAGTAAATACAAGCAAGAACAAAAGACAGCAGATACACTACTATCCACACGAAATAACTACAACAGCCAGAGAAGCCACAGCCTGAGCCAGGAACTCACGCTGCTGGTAGGAAGCTGACTACCTGAGTCATTACTGCTGCCTCCTAGAGTCAACATTAGCAGGAAGCTGCAATTAGCCGCCAGTGCTAGGCGCTGATCAAAGGCAAATGGCTGTGGGTATGAGACGCCAAAGTAACTTTACATGGACTCTTTTATCATTTGTTAACTAATTGCATGCATTTTATAATCATGAAAAAATATTTCAGGGGCTAGTCACTGTGGTGCGGCACATTAAGCCGATGCCAGTGATGCTGACATCCCATACGAGCTCCAGTTCGAGTCCTGGCTGCTGCATTTCTGATCCACCTCCTTGCTAATGTTCCTGGGAAAGGAGCAGGAAATGACCCAAGCACCTGAGCCCCCATCACCCATGTGGGAAACATGGATGGAGTTCCTGGCTCCCTGCTCTGGCTTGGCCCAGCCCAGGACATCACAGCCATCTGGAGACTGAACCAGCAGATGGAAGATCACCCTGTCTTGAGGTGTGTGTGTCCTTCTCTCTAACTGCCTTCCAAGTAAATAAATCTCTAAAACCCACTCAGACTTTTGAGGCCTATGGGCACACAGGAACCGAATACTCTGAGCGACTCAGATTCCAGGCGCACAGCATTCCTGTCTTGCTATTTTGAGCAGCCGTTCCCTGAGACATTCCACAGCTCCTGGACAGACGTGTCAGCATGGGCATTTCTTTTTTTGGTATCCTGGGCTGCTCCAGGTGCCTGATAAACTGCCAGGGTCGGAAGGAAGGAGAGCAGTATCCCGCCATAGTATTTCACAACTTCCCCCAGGCCCTCTGTGTACCATTTGGAGATCATCAATCCTGGTGTTCACTCCGGAAGCCATCTCCTTCCTCTCCTGTGGGGTCTCTGGGCAGGGATAGAGTGAGGCTCGGAACCTGGGACACACAGAGCTGGCCTTAGAATCAGGCTTAATGTCAGTCAACATTATTTATGTCCAATAGTCTATGCGCAGGGCTAGGATGTTTGAACTGGACATTCTTTGTAGCTACACAATTTTGTTGAAACAAACAAACAAACAAAAAAGCAAAACATGCCATAAATTACTAGAGAAAAGTGACGTGGGGGGTTGGGGTGAGACCTGTCCATGAGGCAGAATTAAAAAAAAAAAAAAAAAAACACAGAAAGACTCGACCTCCATGGCTCAGAGGCTGGGCGCACACATCACTATCCCCAAATGACCTGTCCCTTAGAGTCCTGGTTATCTTTGCCAGAGGAAAGGAAGCTCTGGCTCTAACAGGGCTTTCACAAATTCACAAAGTGAGCTTGGACTACTTAGAGTTGTTTGAAAAGACCGTAAGTGATTAAAAGGCAGACCCTGCAGGGAGGCCAAAGAACAGGATTCCCTTTTGCAGCCAGGCTGCGCCCCTTCGTGTGAAGGCCTGCCCATACGTCTCTTACCCTTCGCAGATTTTCTTGACTCTGTTTTTCAACTGATCGCCTTGGAAGAAAATGATAAACACGGACTTGTGCACGTAGTCACCCTAGACCCCAGAATCAAAAAACCAACAAGTTCAGGCCTCTGAGTCAGAAGGAAACTTGAGTTACTTTCTGGGTGACACAGGAACGGGGGGGGGGCTCCTGCAAGGGAGTGGCAATCCTATACGTCAACTGCTGCTGCACTCCACTTGTAAGCTTCTGTAAGAACATATACCCTCTAGTTGCCAATCTCTAAGCTCCTTCTCTACTTGTTATTGAGCCAACCAGGAGCTTGGCACAGAAGCTAAGATGATGTTCTTCTTTACATTAATGAGCCTTATGCACAATTCAGCTTTAAACCTACATTGCCTAATGATCAAAGTAGAGCAGAGAGAAAAAAGCAGCCATCTCTCTTGTCAGATCCAGGAAGACTCACACCCCCAGGTAGAGGGGCTGTGGAACCACAAGGAACCGAGTTGACCGAGAACCTCCTGACTTGTGAATGCACGCTGTGGCAAGAGAGGCAGGCAACTCATTCTGAATACTAAGTCTAGAAGGCAGGAAGGACTGGAGGAACCAATGCCTGTGGGATGATAGCGGGGGATGCCTCTGGGGCCTGCATTTTCTCCTACTGGAGTACAGCATGTACCATCCTTGTGTGAGAATACAAACTTCTGGTGGACACAAACCACAGAGACAGAGACCCTTGGTCTGAGAGTCTGAGCTGCCTGTGAGGTCCCTTCTCCGTGCTGTTCTGCATAGACTTTGGGCCCCTTTCCCAGCTGCCCAGAGGAAGCCTGACTGTATGTTCCCAAGAACAGCTCACATCAGGTGTGCCCGCAGGATATAGCATTTCCATAACCTGAACACGTTGGTTGGACTGTACAGCCGAGCCCCTAGAGAGGCACACACCTCCCTCAGCCCACAGAGGGTCGGAGCCAGAGGTGCAAGATCTGCCCGACCCGAGACATCTCACAACTCAATCTTTCTTGTCAGGCAAGCAAAGAATATGCAGAGCTGAGAAACCAACTCCAACTTTCTAATATGAAAACCTGAAGGGAAGTGAAGTATTTGCAGTACGTGTAATCTCTGTTTGCGATCCCTGATGTCAGGACTAGCTGTACTTGTGTATAAGCGCTCAGGTTATCCACTCCTGTCCCAGCAAGTCAAATGCCAGCACGCTAAGCTGTCCCCGTTGCCAAAGCACTGGGTGGGGAGGGTCACCCTAACTCATACAGTATCTGCTCTTAAATTCGGTTTCTAATTCTCCTAACAAAGACCAGAAACAAACCCTCACAAGCAAAACTTAATCAGCTTACGAAATCACAGTTGAGAAAATCTTTCCTCCTTTCATATTATAGATACTCCCAATTTTGAAATCACCTGTTTTAAGTTAATTTTCAAAAAAGGCATATTTTCTGTTAGTCCCAGATCAGTAAGAGAAAAATATAAAGTGACAGTATAAACTAAATGAAGATGCAGATTTCCCCGAAAAATAATAGCCATACAGAATGAGCTGGAAAAGTGTGTATGCCACGTACATGGCATGGGTCCAGGTGACTGGAGCCCATGTAGAGGAAACATCAAGGCCAAGGCAGGGATAAATGTTGGGGCCCCTCGGTGGCGGGGTCAGACTTGGGGGCGCCCTGGCTGGGCCTCCTGCTCTGGGCTCCCTCTGCAAGGCCCACGCCACACAGTGCAATCTCCTTGTCTTACAGTCACGGGATCCTCCAGGGGACTCTCGATCTCGGCCTGTCGCAGGAACACGTTGCCCCGGCACACCCGCCAGAGCATGCGCTCGAAAGTCGGGATGCGCTCACGGTTAATGACACCAGCCACGAAGCTGCGGGGAGAGGAGTGAGGGTGGGTGCTTGGCTCCACGCAGAAGAAGGGTTGATTTTAACACAAACGGGAATGATGAGGAGGGCAGAGCAAATGGAGGAGGTGATGTGCTATGGGATCCAAATGGTTGGTAGACAGCTCAGGGGCAGAAGGCAGAGACCGAGCGACAGCTCACAACAGGCTCAGGAGAGTGAGTCCTCAGCCCCAGTGTTCTCTGAAGCAGCAGCGGTGAGGACGGGCAGACAGACAGCTACAACCCTTACCCCAGTCTCAACGGTGTGCCTCTTCCCATCTCACTCGGCTCCAGGAGGGATGAGGATTCTTCCAACAGGTCTGGATCCGCCATCTGCTGATGATGCAATTCAGCCTGAATTCACAAATCAATTAATATCTAATGAAAATAGTTAGTGGCATGCAGGGAACGAGGAACCAGGAGACAGGTTCAGAAAATAAAGATGAAAAGGAAAACCAAACCACCAAAAGATAAGACACACCCACAGAAGACAAGAAGAGGGGAAGAAAACAAACAAATATGGATGAGATAAAGAAAGCATAACTGCCCCCAGGAAAGCATCTGGGGAAAACGGTTTTAGAAACAAGGAACAAAAGCAAAAACATTCAATGATGGTGGCATGTATAAACCTGCTACTCGTGGAAGCCATTTTTTCTACTGAACCACCCACAAGAAAACCAGGAAGCACCTTTGCTCCCATGCGAGCAAAACAGAAGCAGTTGTGCAAATGCTCTCCAATTTAACTCCAAGGCAGCTGCAAATGGGAATGTTCCCTATGTGAGTGGGTGGAGACAGAGCCTCTCACGAGGCGAGAGGTTAGGCAGCACCTGTGGCGTTCAGGGTGACCCAAGAAACACATAGGGGCGTCTCCAGAGGCCTGGGTTTGCCAGGCTTTACAAGTTCCTAATTGGAGAGCCTGCAGCACGGCCATGTATGAAATGCCTCAAACGGTGGGATGTAAAGTGCATTTCTTTCTTCCCAAGGACAAACAGCAACATAGTTGGGTGGGCCTGGGCCTCCGCTGTGTCCACAGAGGGAAGAGCGAGCTTCTACAGGTGCGCCCGTGTCTGACCAGGGCTCTAGGAAGATGATGGTCACCTGGGCTTCGCAGCAAAGGATTCCTGCGCATGTGCTTGGGAGTCAGTGAAGGGAAGGCAACAGACAGGAAACCAGTCTGGGGCACGTGGGCCAGGGTGACTGGTTAGGCTCAGAATGACTTCCACTGTGACAGTTTATACAGGGCAGCGAGGGGGAGAGGAGCTTTCCACGTACCAGGCCTCTCTCTGCCCCACTCCCCTTAGCCCTGCTTACTCCCAGGAAAAAGCAGAAGCTGCCCTGCTGACACAGTCCAGTCAACTTCCCCATTGCCTGCGCTCCTCGACCGGGCAATCCACATGCTGCTTGCCTGACCAAAGGCTAGAAACCACAACAACGTTCCCTGTTGGCAAAACGTCAACAGAACTGTTCTCTACTATCTTCATGCCAAACTTCAACCGGATTCTGCTCCTGTCAACAGCACGACCATAAAATGTTGCACGGGGACTCGCTTGACGGGCACATGTGCAACGAAGGGTACAAACCAGACGCTGGGTGTGAAGCCCTAAGCCGTGAAGGCAATGGTTTTGGGAAGCAAAGACGAATACCATAAAAAGGAAAAAAGGAGGGTGGGGCAGGGAGTGGGGCAGCAGTGATGAGCACATCGGGGGCAGAGCAATCCCACACGAGATTCAAGAAGTTCAGGGTGACCCTGTGTGGATGCTGGTCACTGCCTGCTCCACATGGAAATTCAGGGGGCTCTTTTGCTTCTACTTAAATTCCATCATCTGACTGTGGGCAGCTTTTTGAGGATCCAGTCAGCTGCAGCATTTCAACATATTCATCCCTGGGCAAAACCCAGCGAAACCACCTGCTGCCCACAAGACTCCCCCTACTTGCCTGTCTGGGTCATAAGACTGACGTTATACCCCACACATTAGACTCAATGCAAACACAGGTGCTCTAAAGGGAACAACTGAGGGGACAACAGACGGCACTCGGCAACCGCACCACTCCAAAAATGGAGCGAGAGCTCTCAAGATAAAAGGCTTCAGATGAAACAGAAGCTTAGAGAACATTCTGATACTCATTTCACTACTTCAGACTTCGGAATCCCAAGTCTTAGGGATCTTACACATTTCTAAAGAAAAACTGTGCCTGACAGGGAAGTAGCAGGACCAGAGCCCCTAATGGGGGTCCTCAGAAGCAGCACCCGACCACTGTGCTGTTGAGTGTTGAAATCTCAACCTCAGATTCTGGCAGTGACAACACCAACAGTGTCAACACGCCTCTCAACAACTTGCTACGTCCCCGGCCCCGCTCAGACACTAACAACCAGGCCCCATGGAAAGTGGAACTTCAGTTCCACTTCTATCTTTTTTTCTCCAATTTCTATCTTCTATGCGCTGAAGTCTAAGCAACACAGCCAATCAAGCCACATTAGTCACCAAGAGCAAACGCTTTCACCGTCTGGCTGCAGGGAGAGACAGACTGCATTTCAACACGTAAGGGTGCTCACCCAAGCCCCAGCGAAGATGGCAGATGGGAAAGAAAAATAAAGAAAGCAGATGGATGGAAAACTCAGAAGGGAAGGAAGGCGGGGAGCTGCATGCCATTAACCATTACTTTTCCAGTCTTCTTTACGTTCTCATATGTTATGGTGCTTATGGTAAAAGATGCAGAGAAATCTCTCCAGCTCTTACAGCTCTTCATAAGCAAGAAGACTGAGAAAAGGATAATCATCAACACGTCATTTTTAAATGCTCTACATAAGAAAAGGCGACATTGGAATCTGTATTCCTCTCACATCATAAGTGCATTCAATATGCTTACTGTCCCCTTTCACAACCCCGTGCCTGGACACAGAAAGGAACATTTTTGGATTTGGCCATTTTCTGCCAACTGAAAGTATGGATTAGATTCACCAAACGAGAAGAAAGAAAAAAAGATATAAAACTGGTAGTGTTTTAGGTCATTTGTAAACATCACACTTTCTGGCATGGAGATAATTTTCATGAAAAACCCTAGGTTTCAGATATTTAAGTGTCTTCTGGTTTCCTTGTCTTTCGCTGTGAGGGTGGAGTGAGCATTCTGGAAGCCTCATCCATGGCCATGGCAGGCACTGTTCTGCAGCACAGGGCCAGGTCCGTGCCAGGAACACAACTGTGTCCAGGGCCAGTGCCAAGAAGCAGCAAAGAGCTGACAGTGCATCTGGAGAGGAGAGGCAAAGTGGCTCTGGCTGGCCCACTTCCTGAGGCGCCGTGAGGGGGCCAGGAAGACAGAAGGGGAGGGAGAAGCACCCACAGCCCAGGGCTCGAAATACCCACACTTTCAGAGATTAAATTTAAAAAAGTTTAAGTAAATATGAGAAGAACAGCTCACCCCAGGTGGGGCATGCAATGTCATGAAGACCCAGAGTCTACCTCAAATAAATAAAGATGCTTACTTTCATAACCTGCAAGGCTTAAAATTGTCTATCATCTTTGGGACTGGTTCCTCTTATTTTAATTTTACTTTATTTAAAAATTATCTCATAAAAATGAAAAACATTTCATTTAAGGGAGCCCACATGTCAGTTTTCATTGAGAATTTTCTCCTAAAAAGACCAAGAACAAGAGATTCACTCCAATCTGTAGACTCAGGTCATGAAAGACATGTTTATACAATCATGGTAACACCCATACAGGGAACCAATGGGCATGTCAGAAGAGGGGAAAGCAGTTGAGAACAGAATTAAGTTCCAAATGATGCTAAAAGTAGCCAAGTTTTGACCAAGAGGCAAGGTTTATGCTGGATCTGTGGGCAATAGCTTGAGCTCATTTAGAAATCCAACATTTGCAGACTGCCACTGTGGTGTAGCAGGTAAAGCTGTCCCCTTGGATGCCAGCATACTGTCTGGGCACAGGTTTGTGTCCCAGCTGCTCCACTTCCATCCAGCTGGAGGATGGTCCAGGAGTTTGGGCCACCCACATGGAAGACCAGAATAAAGCTCCTGGCTTCATTCAGATCAGCCTAGCCCTGGGTACTGTGGCCATCTTGGAGAGTGAACCAGTAAATAAAAGATTATATCTCTCTCTCTGTGTAACTCTTTCAAATAAATAAATATATGTATATATTTTTAAAAAGAACTGGGCCTAAAATGGTAACCTAGTGGTTAAAGTCCTTGCCTTGCATGCGCAGGGATCCCATATGGACGTGGGTTCTAAGTCCGGCAGTCCCACTTCCCATTCAGCTCCCTGCTTGTGGCCTGGGAAAGCAGTAGAGAACAGTTCAAAGCCTTGGGACCCTGCACCTGTGTGAGAGACCCAGAAGAAGCTCTGGGCTCCTGGCATCGGTGCAACTCTGGCCATTGTGGCCGCTTGGGGAGTGAATCAGCAGATGGAAGATCTTCCTCTGTCTCTCCTCCTCTCTGTATATCTGACTTTGCAATAAAATAAATAAATCTTAAAAAAAAAAAAAGACAAAAAAAGACATGGCATTAAAAAAAAAGCCATGTCTGTGGCAAAAGACCCCAAACACTCGGAAAGAACTGGTCCCACTGCCCCACTACCTGCAGCGCGGTGAGCCAAGGGACTGGTCAGAGAAGTGAGCACCAGTCTCAGAATTCCCCACCCAATAAGCAAGCTGCGTAGCCACGGCAGATCTCTGATTCTTGGAAGGACCTCGGGCTTAGATTCACAGGAGCCTTTCCCCTTCCTAGCTCCAGCTAATATTTTTAATCAGCTCAGCTTTTCCAAGCCAAATCCTTGCCTCCTGAGGAATGCACCACAGCTGCAGCAGACTCTCCCTCGCCCACTGCTTTTCTAACTAGCACCCCCTCAGCATCCCCTTAGTCAGGCTGCTGGGTGCCATCCTCAAGGTGTCCGCTTCAGCAGGTGCGTTTCTAGCAGGAGCCTTACAGGGTGGAGAAGCCCAGCTCCAGCCTAGAGAACCAAAGGAGAATTGGTCTCTTCTCAAAAGACAGAAATCAAAACCAAGAATACATCAGACACAAAATAAATGAGTCCTCTGCATTCAAATGTTTTGCCAAGTTTGTTGTTGCTGTTAGGTAAAGGAAATGAATCTTATAGAACTACACAGTGACTAGAACAATCTCACATGTGTCAGATGTTGCTAATATTCTAGCAAAAACATCTGACAGAAAGAGTGACCTCAGGACTGGTAATGTGGTACACTATGTAAATTTGCCACCTGTGGCACTGGCATCCCATACGGGATAGTCCCAGGTTCTCCACTTTGAACTCAGCTTCCAGCTAATGTGCTTGGGAAAGCAATGGAAGTTGACCCAAATTCTTGGAGTTCTGCACCTATGCGGAAAACCAGTGCAAAGCTCCTGGCTCATGGCTTTGGCCTGGCCCCGGCCATTGTATTCATTGGAAAGTCAATCAGCAAGATGAAGACCACTCTCTCTCTGAACCTACCTTTCCAATAAATAAGTAAACATAAAAAGAGAGAGAGAGAAACCGGCATTTTAGGCCACCAGAAAAGCCACACCAAGGGTGAGAGCTAAGATTTCTCCTGGGCTTTAATTAGAATGAAACATTCTGCCGCCAAATCCTTCCCATGGGGTCATCCCAGCAAGCTGTCACATGGCAGTTTAAGCTGCCTATGTTTGTGACCCATGAGCTTATAAAAACATTTCCTCCCTGTAAGAGTACGCAGTTGTTTTGTGTAAAAATTGAAACATACCACCATGTCTTTCCATGTGACAGAATGAAAAAGTCTTGAAAACTCTGTGTGACATTGTGCTATCCAAAGTTCTGGAAAATCTACCCAAGGGTAGATAAACACAGAGAATGATATATAAATAAAAATTTGATGATAAAAGGCCTGGAAATTCAACCTTCGTTATGCTTTGGTATATCACCACACTTGTTTCTTCCGCTTTAACCGAAAGCATATACTTACCTTACAATACCCAACACAGAAAGGTAACTTTATGTATTTCAGCCCTGCTTACACAATTACTTTAAGGTTCCTTTCCCCATCTTGAGATGAAAAATTGCAGAAAATGTGAAACCATGGGCTGACTGTGTACTGCATGAAAAATGGAACATAATCTGACATTTCTTTAACTAAAATAGGGTGCAAAAATGATACTGCTTCCAAACTAGCAAATTAAAAATAATTACTGGAATAAAAATATGGCCCACTTGTGTAAGTGTAGCTGGTATCAACTGCTTAAATACTAAAAGAAACAATAGTCTGACCTCATCAAAAAACTGCTGAGTTTTTCGAAGTATAAATTTTAATTCAGTTAGTTCCAGGAAGTTTCTCTTCAGCGCTTCCTGGTTCGTGTTGATTTCTTTCAGCTCATTTTCAATCTTCTCAAAATTGGCCTAGAAAGAAAGGAAATGCATAAACTCAGGTGAAGCATAGGATACTTCTTTGCAGAGATGTAAACGGAATTTGTCCCACTGAACTGCTAACCTGCTGACAGTTCAAAGATGCTCCACCACCCAGCAGAGGCTCTGCTGCCGATGCACAATTTTCCACATGCTATTTTTTTTAAACTTCAAATATTCCTGCTTTGTCTATAGATCCTACTGTGTGTGTGGCCAATTTCTCGGAATTTCAAATGGATAGAATAATGATCAAAAGACCCATTGGCTACTCATTTACTCTGTGAAATTAATAAACTGCTAGACAGATTCACATTTATATGAAAGTTTCAATGAACCAATATGGCACTCTTCAAGATATTATTTGCCTTAAAAAAATTAGAGAGAATCCATTTCAGTCCCAAGCACAAAAAATGTGCAGTTAACGGACTACGCTGACAAGTCCAGCAAGAATTTCCCAACTGTCCCCCGCTCAGGCGAGGGATGTGGGTGTCAGAATGGAGAGACATGCGGCCCTCGCAGGAGCATGACTTACCTCCAAGTCAATCATGTCCCTTGGGAAGGGCACCTCGGGGTTTTCGCCTGTGTCCATGATTGGGATGTTAGCTTTTCTGATTTCTTTCTCAACAAATCCTGAAACAACAGAAACCAAACATTCAGAAGAAGCTGCCCATGCCTGAAAGTGTTAGTATTTAGTGGGGGGAGAGGGTGGCAAGTTTCAAAATCTGGCTACAGTTTATAAAAAAAAAAATTTTTTTTAAGATTAAAAAGGCAGATCAGATTTATGGAGAGCAGAGACAGAGAGGACCATCTTTCATCTGCTGGTTCACTCCCCAAATAGCTGCAACAGCCAGAGCTGAGCCAATCAAAGCCAGGACCTTTCTTTTCGGGTGTCCCACGCAGGTACAAGGTCCTGAGGCTTTAGGCCTCGACTGCTTTTCAGGCCATGAGCAAGATTCTGGATGGGAAGTGAAGCAGCCAGGACATGAACTGATGCCCATATGGGATCGTGGTACGCGCAAACGGAGAATTTAGCCATTGAGCCAACGTCAGGGCCCAAGAAAAACCTTTCTTGTGGAAACAACTGTTTCCCTCCACATCCCCCCTCTGCCATCGCACACTCTGTAAAGCAAGCCCAGAGAGGGCAGCTACCCCGTGCTGCCTTCCTTCCCTCTGCTGCTTTAGTTCTCCACCCTCTGCAGCTGCCACCCCAAATCACAGCGAGGCTGGTTACAGACACTGTTAGCGAAGCAGAGCTACTGGAAACCAAGTTCAACAAAATATTTAGTGAGACTGAGGCTCCTGTAACACCAGGAAGGCACAGGCGCCTGGCCCAGCAGAGAGGACTCCGGTGGGAACACGGGCGTCCCCTATCAGAGCGCCTGAGTTAGAGCCTCAGCTCCATTTCTGATCCCGCTCCTGTTGAGATGTCTCCTCAGAAGCCAATGGCTCAGATGCTTGGCTTCCCACTGTACATGTGGGATTCCCAGATTAAGTTCCCGACTCCCAGTTTTGTTTTGGCACAGTTCTGCCAATTGCTGACATTTGGAGGGGGGGAGTAGTTAACAGATGGAAAGTTTCTTTTTCTGTTTATGTTTTTTTCCTATTTATTTTTTCTAAACAAACAAATAAATAACAAAGCACCAGGGGCTGGGTTTGCGGTACAGGGAGTTAAACTGTCACTTGTGATGCCAGTATCCTATATGAGTGCTGGTTTGAGTCTTGGCTGCTGCCTGCTGTTCTTCCAATTCAGCTTCCTGCTACTTGCACTGGGAAGGTAGCAAGAAATGGCCCAAGTGCCTGGGCTCCGGCCATCCCTGTGAAAGATCTGGATGGAGTTCCAAGCACCTGGCTTCAACCTGGATCAGCTCTGGCCATTGTAGCCATTTGGAGACAGAGATCTTTGTCTCTAACTCAGCCTTTCAAATAAAAATAAATCTTAAACACACATCACCTGAAACACCTCACATGTTTTAGGTGGAGGCCAGATCCACTGTGAGCTACCTGGAGGCTGCCTTAGCAGAGCAGCCAAGCCAGGGGGCTGAGAGCCAGACAGTGCAGCTAGCTCCCAGCTGATTCCCTCCCAGCTGCTCATGCTCCTGGGTAGGGCCCCAAACCTCTTGCAGATTCCATAGTTAACAAGGGAGGTAGCACCTTCATTCTTTTTTTTTTTTAATCAAAAAAATATATGTATATTTTATTTATTTGAAATGTGAAGTTACAGAGAAGGACAAAGAGAGAGAGAGAGAAAGAGGCTTCCCACCTCTTGGTTCATTCTCCGGGTGGCTGCAATGGCCAGGAGTGAGCCAGGCTGAAGCCAGGAGTTTCTTCCAGGTCTGCCACATTGGAGACAGGGGCCCAAGCCCTTAAGTCATCCTCCCCTGATTTCCCAGGCTCATTAGCAAGGAGCTAGACTGGAAGTGGAGCAGCTGAGTCTTAATTGCCTATACAGATTTAATCTGCTTTTCAGCCTCAAGCACCTTTGTTTTTTCTTCTTTTTCCTTCCTTCTTCCTTTAATCAGATTTCTTTAAAGATTTACTTGTTTTTATTGGAAATGCAGAGTCACAAAGAGAAGGAGAGACAGAAACATCTTCCATCTGCTGGTTCACTCCCCAAATAACTGCACCAGCTGGAGCTGAGCCAATCTAAAGCCAGGAGCCAGAATCTTCTTTTGGGTTTCCCACATAGGTGCAGGGTTCCATGGCTCTGGCCCATCCTTTTCTGCTACTTTCCCATAAACAAGGAGCTGAATGGGAAGTGGAGCAGCTGGAGCACAAACCAGTACCTATATGGGATGCTAGTTCTTGCAGGCGGAAAATTAGTCTGTTAAGCCAGCGAGGGTGGGAGGGTAGGGAGATGATGGGGGGGGGGTGCATTCTTGAAGAAATGCTGTGGGGAATGAATAAAACAAAGTATAAAAGCACTTTAACCTCCAATAGGACCTTAACCAATGGCAGTTTCCTCCCTCATATATAGCTCAGATTAAAAGATGGCTCTGGGGCCCAGTGCCATGGCCACCGGCTAAAGTCCTTGCCTTGCATGTGCTGGGATCCCACATAGGTGCTGGTTCTAATCTCGGCAGCTCTGCTTCCCATCCAGCTCCCTGCTTGTGGCCTGGGAAAGCAGTCGAGGATGGCCCAAAGCCTTGGGACCCTGCATCCATGTAGGAGACCAGGAAGAAGCTCTCAGCTCCTGGCTTTGGATTGGCTCAGCTCCAGCCATTGTGGCTACTTGGGGAGTGAATCATCGGACAGAAGATCTTCCTCTCTCTTTCCTTCTTTCTATATAGCTGACTTTCCAATAAAACTTAAAAAAAAAAAAAAAGATGACTCTGGTGCTGTTGCCTCCAATGGTGCTGCTGCCTCCAAAACATCCCAAATGACCGCTGGTTCATGTCCTAGCTGCTCTATTTTTGACCCAGCTCCCTGTCAGTGATCTAGGAAAAGCAGGGAAGATGACCCAAGTGTGGCGGATCTGGATGAAATTCTCTTGACCTCTGACTTTGGCCTGGCCCACCACTGGCCACTGAGGTCAATTGGGGAGTGAATCAGCAAATGGAAGATGTCTTTCTCTCCCTGTCTTTCTACAACTCTGACTTTCGAAATCAATAAAATTAATTTTAACGATTTCTCTTACTTACAAGTCTGAGTTACAAACAGACAGGAAGTGTAAGGAACAGGCCTGGAAAATTGACCCCGCCATCCTGGACTCAGCCCACCTCAAATGCCTGTTTATCATAAGCCTCCTCGGTCTCAGCCCCCTGAAGGCCCACTTGTCTAAGCAAGCTTAGTGACTTTCAGGCCCACCAATCCCCTGCAGCATTGAGCCTGGTCCCCTATAGCTGCACCTGCCCATGCCCACCTCCAGGCTGTAAAGGTGCCTCTTCCCTTTGTTCTGGTCTCTCCACCACATGCTGTCTGCCTCTCTCCCCTCCTTGTCCTCTGCTCTGCTCTTTTGTCTCTCTTCTCCCCTTCTGCTCAGTTTCTTTCTGCTCTTCTGTCACTTTCTCCCTGCCTCACAGCTATTTGGAAATAAAGACCTCTCGTGTGGCTTGCTGATTGTGTCTGGCATTTTGAGTTTATAGAAAAAGCTAACAGGGAGAGAGACATCTTCCTGTTCTATCTGCTGGTTTACTCCCCAAATGGTTGCCATGGAAAAAGCTGGGCTAATTTGAAGCTGAGACCCAGAAGTTTTTTCCAGGTCTCCCCTGTGGGTGCGGCGGCCCAAAGCTTTGGGCCATCCTCTACTGCCTTCCCAGTCCATCAGCAGGGAGCTGGATCAGAAATGGAGCAGTCAGAACAAGAACAGGTGTACATATGGGATGCCAGCACTTGCAGGTGGAGGATTAGCATGCTGCATCACCAATGCCGGCCCCAATAAAATGCATGTTAAAAAGAGTGGGGTGAGGTGGGGGAGAAGGGAGAGAGAGGTGACTGTGCTGACACTGACTGCCCTGTGCTGTCTCAGAGCTCAGTTATATGGCTAAGGTCCCACAGTGGTTTCATCTTGCAGCCTGTTGTATCAAACAAGGTTTATACCCAGTATCCCACCAGCCACAACACTACAAAGTCCATTTGTACACCAGAAAATCACCTCAACATTAGAATCACAAGACTGTTCTTCTTTTCATCTTCTCCTTCCTTGATTCTTCCTTTATTAAGATATCTGTTCTAACACCAACAATTCATTACAGAATACCACACAAGAACAAATCACACGTACGGAGCTTCCGATCCATTTCTTCACATCTTCTCACTTCATTCACAAATTTTCGCTGGAAAACATTCACATCCGGGTTCAACTGAAAAAAAAAAAACCAACAGAATATCAAACATTCAAATGCTGACTCTGGTTCCTCTACTTCAAGTGTTTCCTGCAAGATGAAAACAGCGTTGTGTCAATAGAGATTGTAACACTAACAATAACCGCCTTCTGCATCATGTGCCTCCCTCAAGCCTCCTCCCTTGAGCCTGAAACAGGGCACCTGGGGGCAGACAAGCAGGCTCAGAGCTTCCAGAGCTTGAGAGCACCAGCCCCTGGGCCAAGGACATCACAGCAGTTCTATGGGGTTTCCCTTCTCTTATCTTGCCCTGAGCACAAGAGACAGAAGGCAAACTTCCCTGTGTCCTGTCCCAGGTGGGGACTTTATTTTCTCAAGGCTGCTGGTTTTTCACTTACACACCACAAGCAATGTACAAAGCAATGTTACAGACATCCTGGGGTGTTGAAAAATAAATAAATAAAACAAATTCCCATTCAGGGAGAAGCTTGCAGTATAACAGAGAAGGAAGAGGAACAGAATGGCTTTTGGGCCTGAACCAGCAGGTGGGAGCCTGCGCTACCTCATGGACACATACACTCTCTCTGTCTCTCTAAAGAAAAATGTTAAACAAATACTGTAAGAAGTTGAACTCGTACAAGCAGAGAGCAGAGGCTGGCTGGCAGAGGCTGGCAGAGGGCAGAGGCTGGCTGGCAGAGGACAGAGGCTGGCTGGCAGAGGCTGGCAGAGGGCAAGGGGTGGGAGTGGAGAGATTACAAGCTGTTGGTCAAAGGGCACAAAGTTCCAGACACAAAGGGCCTGAGCGTTCCTGCACAGCAGACTGACAGCAGTCAATAATGTATGGTATCCTTTCCAAACGACACAGAGAGGACATTTCAAATGTCTTACCACAAAAATGCTAAGTGAGTTGGTGCACCTGTTAGTTGGCTTGATTCTATCTTTCTGCCTCATGTACCTATCTCAAAACGTCACTCTAGACGATGAACATGTATATAATGATGCTTTCTCAACTGCACTAATATTTTTTAAAACAAGGAAAATTACAAGTACTGGGAAGGATACAAAGAAGTCAGAACTCTAACACATGCTGACAGGAACAGAACACAGTGTGAAGCCTGGTGGTCCCTGAAAGGGTTGACACAGCAGGATTCACACGACTCAGCCATTCCAGCCCTGGCTATGTGCCCAAAAGATCTGAAAACAAGCCCTTAATAACCACAGAAACCCAAAAGGTAGAAGCCTTGCAGATGAGAGCCAACAGAAGACTGCAGCCACACAACAGAATAGACAGGAATGAGGCAGCAGCACACAGGATCCTTGGGAAGAACACGCTGAAGGGAAGACATCAGATACAAAAGACCACGACTCATGTCCTGTGTGTATGGGATGCTCAGAACAGGTGAGTCTGTAGAGACAGAAGGAAGACGAATGGTTGCCAGGGGCAAAGGAGGGGAAGATGGTTAGTGACTGCTAATGGGTACAAGGCGTCGTATTGGGGTGATGAAATGGACTGGAACTAGGGGGGCTGGCACCATGGTGTAGCAAGTATGGTGCTGGCTTCAGACGTGCCCAGTTCTGCCTGATGTGGCCACTTAAGTAGTAGCTAGCAGATGAAAGATTTCTCTTAGGACCAGTGCAACAGCTCAATTAGCTAATCCTTTACCTTCAGGTGCAAAGATCCCATATGGGTGCCAGTTTGTGTCCCAGCTGCTCCACTTCCCATCCAGCTCCTTGCTTCTGGCCTGGGAAAGAAGTCAAGAATGGCCCAATGCTTTAAGACTGCACCCACATGAGAGACCAAGAGGAAGCTCCTGGTTCCTGACTCTGGACTGGCTCAGCTTCGGCCTCTGGCTGTTGTAACCATTTGGGGAATGAACCAGTGGATGAAAAATCTTTCTGTCTCTCCTCTCTGTAAATCTGATCTGCCTTTCCAATCAAAACAAATAAATCTTCAAAAAACAACAAGAGAAAGACTTCTCTCCCTCCCCAACAAATGTCTCTCAAATAAATAAATCAATCTATAAAAACAAACAAAAACAGCAGCTGGCACAATAGTTCAACTGGTTAATCCTTCCCTTTCAAGCACTGGCAACCCAGCTCCATCTGTTGCTCAGCTCCATCTGCTGCTCCATTTGGGAAGTAAACCAGTAGATGGAAGATGTTTCTCTCTGTCTCTCCTCTCTGTAAATTTGCCTTTCCAGTAAAAATAATATTTTAAATAAATAAAAAAGAGCAGAGAAGATTGCACAACTTTGTGAATATACTACAAATTACTGAATGGCAGATTTTTGCTGTATTAATTATATTCAATTTGGGGGGATAAAAGGCACAGCCAGTGGAATCAAGCAGCCCCAAAGAGCGAGCTGACCATCCTGGAGGCAGTCATCAGGCAGGCCCTCATCCAAATGGCGGCTGTGGCAGGTTCCACTCCTGACGGCAGCAGCCCCTACTGGTCGGCAGGGCATGGGAAAGCCTAAAACAACCAAGCAAAAGCTCGACCTCCTGGTACAGATGGGGGTTGCTATGACTGAACAGGGAAGGGGAACAACCAGACCGGGTCGAGGGCCCAGGTCCCACGGGGGAAGTGGAAGCATTCCTCTCTGACTTTCACTCTGGAATTCACAGTGCTACCTTTGGCAGGGAACTACATTAAACCCAAACCAATCACTTTAATCTGTTACAGGATTTCCTATTTCAAAAACTCCCAAAAAGATACTGATAGACATTTGAAAGCACAGTGGTATGTGAGAGAAAGGTCACAGAAGACTACACAGCACACGCCTGCATCAAGGGACTGCACGGACAGCTAAGCCAACGCAGAGGGCAGGGCCACAGAGCGAATGTGCCAGGCGGGGAGGAAACAACTGGTAATGCGAAAGAGTTTAAAAAGGCTCTGAGAGGGCCCGGCGCTGCGGCCTAGCAGCTAAAGTCCTCGCCTTGAACGCCCCGGGATCCCATATGAGAGCCGGTTCTAATCCTGGCAGCTCCACTTCCCATCCAGCTCCCTGCTTGTGGCCTGGGAAAGCAGTCAAGGATGGCCCAAAGCTTTGGGACCCTGCTCCCGTGTGGGATACCCGGAAGAGGCTCCTGGCTCTGGATCGGCATAGCATCTGCCATTGTGCTCACTTGGGGAGTGAATCATCGGACAGAAGATCTTCCTCTCTGTCTCTCCTCCTCTCTGTATATCTGACTTTCCAACAAATAAATAAATCTTTAAAAAAAAAAAAAAGGCTCTGAGACTGGTTGTGGTATGATTGCATCTTTAAGCATTCTAAAGATACCCTGAAGTGCAACTCCTGTTGTGGCAAAGCAGATTAAAACCACTGCCTACAAAGCTATCATCCCATATGGCAGGTGTCTGAGTCCGAGCTGCCTTACTTTCTATTCAGCTGTCAATGAACTGAGAAAGTAACAGAAGACAGCCCAAGTGCTGGGGCTCTGCCACCTCTGTGGGAGACCGGGCTGAAATTCCTAGCTCCTGACTTCAGCCTAGGTCAGAACAGGCCATTGCAGCCATCTGGAGAGTAAACCAGTGGATGAAAGATTGATCTTTCTCTGTCTCTCCCTTTCTCTTTCAAAATAAGTAAATAAATCTTAAAAAACAAACAAAAATACTGGGTCCAGCGTAGTAGTAGGCAAAGCTGTTGCCTATGATCCCATAACCAACTCCCTGTTAATGGCCTGGGAAAAGTTGTGAGGATGGTCCAAGGGCTCAGGTCCCTGCAATCCATGCTGGAGACCTAGAACAAGGTCCTGGCTCCTGGCTTCAAGCTGGTCCAGCTTCAGCCGCTGTAATCATCTGGGGAGTGAACCAGCAGATGGAAGATCTCTTTCCCTCCTGTCTCTTCCTCTCTTCCCATAACTCTTTCAAATAAATAAGTAAATCTTTATTTAAAACAAAATACTGAAGTGTACATTCTATTTTTAGAAAACCTTTGCAATTCAAGAGGCTACTTCACTCCCTGGTTCATTCCTCAAATGCCGACATCAGCCAGGCTTGGGTTGGGCTGAAGCTGAGAGTCAGTAACTCAATTCAGGCCTTCGATGTGGGCGGTAGGAAGCCAACAGCTTGAGTCATCACAGCCACCTCCCAGGAGATCGACAGGAGATTTGAATCAGGGATCAATTCAGGTACCTTGGTATGGGCTGCTGGACTCCTGGTTTTTTTTAATCATATTTTATTTGTTAAATAAGTCATATTTCATTTATTAACTTTTAAAGATATTTACCTATTTAAAAGTTACAGAAAGAGAGAACAAGCTCTTCTATCTGCCCAAATGGCTGCAATGACCAGGGCTGGGCCAGGCTTGAAGCCTGGAGTTTGGAGTGGTCTCTGGATCTCCCAGTTGGTGTAGGGGCCCAACCACTTGGGCCCTTTTCTGCTGCTTTTCTAGGCTATTAGCAGGGAACTGGAAGTGGAGATCAAATACAGAACACCTAGGTCTTGAATTGGGATGGTGCGGTGTTGCAGGCTGTAGCTTTACCTGCTACATCACAAAACCAACCCCCATTTAAAAAAAATATATATATATTCTTATCTTTTAACTTGGTCTCTTTAAAAGATTAGTTTATTTTAATGTTAGATTAACAGAAAAGGCTTCCACCTACTGATTGGTTCACTGCTGAAATGCCCACAGCAGCTAGGGTTGAGCCCAGGCAGAAGCCAAGAACCACAAAGTCCATCTGAATCTCTTGTGTGAATGAAAAGGATCCAAGTACTTGAGCTGCGCTGAACGTGTTGGGATCCCATATGGGCGCCAGTTCGTATCCCAGCAGCCCCACTTCCCATCCAGCTCCCTGTTTGTGGCCTGGGAGAACAGCAGAGGATGGCCCCAAAGCCTTGGCACCCTGCACCTGCGTGGGAGACCTGGAAGAAGTTCCTGGCTCCTGGCTTCGGATCAGCGCAGCACCGGCCGTTGCGCTCACTTGGGGAGTGAATCATTGGATGGAAGATCTTCCTCTCTGTATTTCCTCCTCTCTGTATATCTGACTTTGTAATAGATAAATAAATAAATAAATCTTTTTTTTTTTTTTAAAAAGAGTTACAAAGAGGGGATGACATCTTTCACCCTTATATGGTTGCAATGTCTGGGGCTACGCCTGGCAGAAGCCAGAATTCCCTCTGGATCTCCCCCATTAGTGAGGGGATCCAAGAACTTGAGCCAACCATGCTCCATCGCTTTCCCAGGTGCATTAACAAGGAACTGGGTTGGAAACAGAGCAGCTAGGACTTAAACTAGTACCTATTTGGGATTCAGCCACAGCAACTCAACCCATTGTACCATAACACTGGCCTCTAAAAAAATTATTTCCTTTATTTGAAAGTCAATAACAGAGAGATCAACCTTCCATCTGCTGATTCACTCCCAAAATAACTTCAATACCCAGGGTTTGGCCAGGCTAATGAACACGGCTGAACAGCCAACAATTCAAATTACCTGAGTGATCAATCATCTACTGCCTCCAAGGGTGCATACTAGTAAGAAGCTGGATGAGAAGCAGATCTGGGAGCAGGTGCTCTGGCTTATGGGCACTGCCACTTGCAATGCCGGCACCCTATATGGGTATTGGTTTGAGTTCTGGCTGCTCCACTTCCAGCCCAGCCCAGCTCCCTGATAATAAGCCTGGGAAAGCAGCAGATGATGGCTCAAGTATTTGGGCTCCTAAACCCACATGGATGGTCCAGAAGGAACTCCTGGCTCTTAGCTTCAGGCCAGCCCAGCTTCTAGCCATTGTGGCCATTTGGGGAGTAAATCAGCAGATTGAAGATGTGTGTGTGTCTCTCTTTTCCTTTCATATAATGAATCCTAAAATAATCTTTTTTTTAAAAAAAAAAAAGACCTGCTGTGTGAAGTGAACACCTAGCCCTGTTCCCCACACTTATTCTATATGATTGAAAACATGGCATAAGTAAAAGAGAAAGAAGGCTGGACAGCAAGGAGACACCAATGGCACCAGATAAAGAATTGCAAGTGAAAGGCAATAGGCTTGACTCAGGTTTCAAGCCTGGAAAGCTAGGAAAATCTCAATGCATTGGCTCATGTTTGGGAAGTCATGATGAAGAAACAGTGTGTGCAATGACACAATGTCAGAACTTAACAAGCTGAGCTGGAATAGCAGGGTGGAATTGCTGAGCGTCAGCAAGCAGAAAGGGCTGTAGTGACAGGGACAGAAACCATGAGGTCAGGGCAAGAGGTAAGAGATGAGGCAGCCTGCTCGATAAAAAGGAAGACTCGTGAGATCACCAACATGGATGAAAAAGGAAAAGCTGACCTGGGGACACGGACACCTGGGGAAGAGAGTGGAGATCAGAGAGAAGCCAGTGGAAGACGCAACGAGTTTTCACAAAGGAAAGCATCACGGAGGACAACACTTGAACACAGCTGTGACAAAATGGTTTACAGAGAACAAGGATGAGACCAGTCATGCAATTACATTTATGCAATTCTCGGACTGGGAAGTTCCTGAAAAGCTGCTCATTAACAAAGGCTGACATGGACAAACCCCCTCCCAACCATGGTTCCTCTTTCATCCATTCAATCATCCCAACAAATACTGATTCAAGGCCTTGTGTGGGAGCACCCAAGACACAGTACTGAGCAAAAGCAGAGACAGCCCTTGTCTTCTCGTGCTTAGCGCACACTGGAGAAGAAAGACTTCAACCAACTCCTCCTGCTGATGAATGTAAAGTTGCAGCCACAGAGCTGGTACTGCAGCACAGCAGTAAAGCCACTGCCAGTGGTGCTGGTGTGCCATCTGAGCACCAGGTCAAGTTCCAGCTGCTCCATGTCCAATCCAGTTTCTAGAACTGGGAAAGCATGGAAGATCACCCACATTCTTGGGTCAAGGGCCCCACACCCATGTCAGAGACCTGGAAAAATCTCCTGGCTTCAGAATAGCCCAGCTCTCATCATTGCAGCCATTTGGGCAGCGAATCAGGTTATGTAAGATCTCTCCCTCACTCTCTCTTTCAGTAACTTTGCCTTTCAAATAAAGGAATCTTTTTTTAAATACAATATCAGCCATCCCATTAAGATATATGTTTTTCTACAAAGCAAACTAGGGGCTGGCACATTGGCTCAATTGCTTAATCCTCCATTTCCAAACAATGGGATCCCATATAGGTGCCAGTTCATGTCTTGCCTACTCCACTTCCTATCCAGCAGCCCACTTATAGCTTGGGAAATCAGTAGAGGATGGTCCAATGCCTTGGGACCCCACATCCACAGGGGGAGACCCAGAAAAAGCTCCTGAGTTCTGGCTTTAGATCCACTTAGCTCTGGCCATTGTGCCCAGTTGGGGATTGAACCAGTGGACAGATCTTTCTGTCTCTTTCTCTCTCTGTAAATCTGCCTTTCCAATAAAAAGACAACCTTTTTAAAATAAATAAATAAATAAATAGGACCTGGTGTGGAAACTTAGTACCTAAAGTCCTTGCCTTATAGGCGCCAGGATCCCATATGGGCACCAGTTCTAATCCGGGCAGCCCCGCTTCCCAATCAGCTCCCTGCTTGTGGCCTGGGAGGGCAATCGAGGACGGCCCAAAGCCTTGGGACCCTGCACCAGCATGGGAGACCTGGAGGAGGCTCCTGACTCCTGGCTTCAGATCGGCACAACTCCAGTCATTGTGGTTGCCTGAGGAGTGAACCAATGGATAAAAGATCTTCCCCTCTGTCTCTCCCCTTCTCTGTATATCTGACTTTCCAATAAAAAATAAAATCTTAAAAATAAAATAAAAAAGCAAAAACAAAGCTGTAACATAATAATGTTGTGAAACAGAAGTATATGGAGCTTCGAGACTAATGAGAGGATTCTGGTCAGCACACCAGCAAACTGCTAACTACCTCCTTCATTCAGCAACACACACTGTGCCTTTTAATCAGGCCACACATCTCACGTAGCACAGTTTTACTCTTAGCCTGTTCATTTTCTTTCAATATCTTTTTTTTTAATGTTTCACATATTCATTATTATTCAGGGTCATGCTAATCTTCCCTGTAGTGTTCCAGTTTTAGTATGTGTACTGCCAAAGCAAGCAAGCAACTCAGCATCTTCTTCAACTGCCTAAGAAAATGCTGCAAAACGGCCATTCACTACCTCCTTACTTCCACATAGCTGTAGAAATGCCTCATACTTTTCACACACACAAATCCTAAACTTCAACAATCCCTTCAAACATTCAACAGTGAGTGTTAAAGTGTCAAAAGGCCCTGAGCAGGTTGGTCAGGCAGCCTCTTCAGGCCTCGGAGTGGTTGGTGTGGTTCTCAGAGGGGTAGGGCTGGCCAAAGCACGGAAAGGCCAGCACAAACACTCCAGAGGCAGCCTGAAGGGCGGAAAGGCCAGTGTTTTATAAAATTACTACTGCAAATAAAAACCACATCAGTCATTACAAGGCAACTGGGCAGGGTGAGAAAACCAAGGGTTCAGTGGCCAGCAAGAAGCAACCACACCACTACTTACATCACGAAACTGCACCTTGCCGAGCTCCCCTAACTCACTGACGCAGCAGTAAGCCGCCTCGGACTGTAGGAAGAGCTGCGCCAGCGTCATCTCCTCGCTGCGGAAGAGCTCCCCCATGGTGGCGACAGTCCACTCCACCGAGAGCCAGGACTTCTCTCCAACCTGGGGCAGGGGAGCAAAGGACAGGATTTGGTTGAGCTGAAACAACATTCCCAGCAGGCTCCTGCCTTTGGCATTTTAGCTTTTCCACCTCAGGCTGCCAGGTCTTTAGCAGCAGGTCTGACATCCCATTTAGACAAGTGGAAACCAGCAACTCTGTGTGTGTTACAAAGGCAGTTACTGAATTCTGCCCTTCTCAGTGCAGATTAAAAGTAATTTCCTTTGCAGTCAACACTGCGATCAAATGACAATATTTTAGGAAACCAACAACATTATAGATTAAAGATAGGGATAGATGCTGGACTGTCTGACATTGTCTGTACCAGCAATGTCAGGGCACACTTAAATAACAGACTGATGGACTTATGACTGCTTATGAAGGACTATATTATTGTAACAATATGGGGAAAATCAGTCGGGGGGTGGGAATTTGGGGAGGGGATAGGGAAATCTAAGACCCTATGGAATTGTACCATAAAATTCACAATTTAAAAAAAGATAGGGATAGCGACAGGAGCAGGGCAGCACACAGCTTTTTCAATACTGTGGACACGTTCTCTGAGGCAGTGATGTTCACACTGCCCACTCTTCATTGCTTGTACAGGAAACAAACAAAAGAACCTCTTACAAAATGGGGTCAGCATCCCTCTTCTCCCGTTTCTTGGCAATATAATTTCTAACAGAGTTGCAACATTACCCTAAAGCTACAGTCCCACGAAAGGGCTTAACCTTCCAGATGCCCCAGAAAACACCCTCACCCTCACACACACCTACAGAACCCAATAAACAAGGAGTATATTCAAGGAGGAACCAGCTTACATATTAGAATCAATTTCAAAGCAACACACTGGCAATGACAAAGCAGTTTCAGCAAGGCAGGGAGAACAAGCCTTCCACCCGCGCAGCTGTCTGCTTGTCCTGCCCATCTTCTAGGTTAATCGCAGGCTTCCATCTGTCACATCCTCTCATGCGTGAAGCCACTAAACATCTCGATCGAGTCTCCACTGCCGCCTGTAGGAAAAGCGGCTGGCGCTATCAGTGGTCCTGAAACGCGATTATTTCTTCTCAATCACCTTCTGCAGGGCAGACTGCACAGAATATAGATGCAACAAAACGCTCAGGCTTTGAAGCATCCTAGGGTCCCCCCAGCTTCAACAGAGACAGGTGAGCCTGACCTCAAAGGAAGATAGGCTCCACGAGAAGGCTGGGAGACATCTTAGAAACTCAGAAGGACAAAACCTTCACGTACTGCATATCCAGGGCAGCAAGGACAACCTGCTTACAAACAAGCATTGCCCCGGAGACTCCCTGACTTGGCGACCTGTGTGCATCCGAATCAGCTGTTTCCAGCCCCACCTGCCTCACCTGCACCAAGCAGAGAGACTCCACAACCGCTCAACACAGGACAGCTCGCCTCGTCAGCATCCTTTGGGGGCTGACAATGATAGTCTGTCATGAGTCCCTCCCCGCTCCCACCCTCTAATGACTAGGTCTCCCAAAACATCTCCAGACCACTGCAGCCAAACAAAAAACCAAGCCAAAGCTGTTCTGGGAGGAATGGGGGAGTCACAACATGAAATCCGAACAATCAGCAAGACTACATAAGATGGGGCCCACCCGCAGCGCCTCCCTGTCCCCTCCCCCACCGCCAGCCTCTGGGATCATCTGTCACTCATTCCTAACCTCCCATCAGGGAATGATTCACCTGCCACCCAGAGAGCAAACAGGAATTCTCTGGACCCAAGTACACCTCCCTCTTCGTACGTGGCGGGTATCACCGAAATTGGGAGTCCCTCTAGAAAGTCTCCCCAAATTCTGCCTCCCCAGTAACCCTCAGTCCTTCTGCTTTTCCCTTCCATGGGTGAAAATAAGGCCTCTATAGGGCACAGAACCTCTGAATTTTCTGCCCACAGGAGGGGTCCTCAAGAGGAGGTGAACCCCTATTTTCTCCCACCGATTTGAGACGCCTGCTAATTCCTTTAACGAGTGACGGGGTGACCAGAGTTTCCTGAGTCACTCGAAGGTGCTGCCTGCCGAGCTGTCCCTACATCCCCCGGCTCACCTCCCGGCACCGGCCCAACCGCCGCCACAGAGAGCCGCCGCAGACAAGCCCACAGCTCCGCGGCTCCAGCAGCAGCAGCGCCTCGACGTGCGTGCGTCACCAGAGCCCCGCCCCCGCGCAGCCGCCGGGCCCCGCCCCGCGATGACCTCATCGCAGTCCGCCAATGGGAGGCGGCCTGGCCTGGGTGGCCGCAGTGCGGGGCGGCGGAGCGTGGGCGGGGCCCGGCGTGCTGACGCCATCTTGGCCGCTGGCGGGGCAGGCTTGGGGTTGTGGGACTGGCTCGAACAGCTCAGAGTCCGTGCTGCCGAAGGGCAAGGTCGTTCTGTTTCCTCATTGTCCTAACTTGGGGATTCACGACTTTGTCTCCTGGAGAAGTAGTAGGATGAAAGGGGCGATACCTTCATGAAACGACCTAAGACCTGTAGGCGCTGGAAAATGCGCATAGTGCTGGCCCGTTTTGACAGACTTTCTCCTCATTTCTCTAAAAAAAGTGAAAACCCATGAGCTCCAGCCCGTGGCTTAGGGAGATCACGTGAGCCCAGTCTTTAACGAGGCGCGTGCCTCGTCCCTTCCAGCGACTCTCCATGATCTGTTTTTCTCCAGCAACAAGAACTCCCACCCCCACCCCAAAGACCATAGGTTACAGAAGTAAATTTTTCTCTTGCTTGGTGGTAATACCTGTGGCCCTTTTAGCCACTTAAAGGTTTTCGATTCTTCAAATTTGGTATTACAATACCACATTTCTTATTGCAAAAGTGATGCTTTGGATATTTTTAAAACGTCTTTCTCAAATATATTGATACTTTTTATCACCTTTTTTAAGAAGGTTAAAGTGGGAACTTCTTGGTAATAACTAGAACCATATCAGGAAAAACTCGCAAAACTAGTTGTTCTGTCTCTCTGGATGGTAGAACCCCTATGAGATTCAAGGATAAGGAGAAATTTTTCATTTTTTTAAGAAGAATCTCATGCTAACTAATTTTGTCTCCTTGACAAAAAACATCACCACGCTGCTTAGCCAGCCTAGGAAAGAAGGGTAAAAATAGCCATTGTATCTCATGCTGTGAATGGAGATAATTTGATTGTCCTTTTTTTTTTTCCCCCCTTTCATACCTTAGAGAACCCAAACCCTTACCTCCTTTTTCCTCTCAACTTTCTCAGGCAAATCAGACAACCACATTTGAAAACCTGCCAAGTTTTAGAAAGCAGTTTCACAATGCTTGTCATTTCCTTCCTTTGAGTAAAAAAATAAAGAGTACCCTCAGAGTCAGCTGCCTGCTAACCACATGGTTTTCACACTACGTTTCAGACAGCCTTCCCTCTGGGCCCCGGTAAGCTCCTTTGAAATCTTCTAGTGGCTTTCCTGAAAGTCTGCCCTTGCTGTTCCTCTTACTGATGCCCTCTCTCCAGTACCCTACTTCTTTTCCTTCTGTTCTCTACATCTGCACTCTTGTCTGCAGTCAGGCTTAAACGTCTGTGTATGGGACTGGGATCTACCTTCCCAATCCCTTTTCCCCCCCAAAGCTTAGAAATGAACTTTCAAGGGCCGACACAGGAGAGTAGCAGGTTCAGTCTCCACTCCCGTGCTAGCATCCTGAAGAATCACCAGGTACCAGTTCATGTCCTGGTTGCTGCTTTATTCCTATCCAGTCCGTTGCTAATGTGCCTGGGGAAGCAGAGGAGGACGATCCAAGGCCTTGGGCCCCTACACCTGCGTGGGAGACCTGAAGAAGGCTCCAGGTTCCTGCCACTGTGGCCATTTGGGAACTAAACCAGCGGATGGTATATCTCTCTCTGGTTTGTCCTGTAAATCTGCCTTTCAGATAAAAATAAATCTTTCTTGTTTTTAATGAAATGACATTTAAAATAGCCATTTAAACCAGGGCTTACTATGTGCCAGGCACAAATGGTTCTAGAAGCTAGGGATTAGAATAAGAAACAGACCCATTTCTACCCTAGAGGAACTCACAGGCCAATGAGAAGTCAAATCCCAGTCATGAAAAGGCAGAGCTGGGGATGAGGATGAATACTGCTGTTAGGCTGCTCTGCTAAGGGCTTGGTAGGCAGGAACTACCTACCCACTTAATCCTCACCACAACACTCAGTGACAGATGCTATTACCCTAATTTAGTAGATGATAGAAAATGGAGGCCTGTGTCCACCAAGATGAATTTTGAAATGCTGCTCTAGAAGACATTTGTATTCCCTAAGGGGCTTAGCCAGTGATGCAGTTGTGTCTAAATTGACTTACTCTATGATTTTTCTAAAACTTTATTTACTTGATGGACACTGGTAACTTGGTAACTGGTAACAGTGGATTGAGCCACTGCCTGCACGGCTGCCATTGCATACTATAGTTCAGTTTCCTGCTAAAGCACCTCAAAAGGGGTGGGAAGATGGCCCAGGTACTTGGGCCTTGCCAATCACTGGGGAGACCTGAATGGAGTCCCAGGCTCCTGGCTTGGGCCTGGCCCAGGTCCAGCCATTACAACTATTTGAGGAGTGATGGAGTGGATAAAGATCTCTATCTTTGCTTCTCTCTGTGTCACTGCCTTTCAAATCAATAAATCTTTCAGAAAAAATTGTTAGTTGAGAGTAAAAAAAATAAAATACCAGTAGACAGAGCTCCCATCTGTTGCATCACTGCCCTAAATGCTGCAATAGCCAGACCCAAAGCAAGCAGGATCCTGGAGCTAGACCTGGATCTGCAGGGATCAGGGACTTGAGCCATCACCAGCTACCTCCCAGCATGTATGTTAGAAGGAAGCTGAATCCAAATCGGAGTCACAACTTGAGCCCAGCACTCCAGTATGAGATGTGAACATTTCAAGAGATGTCTTCATTGCTGTGCCCTGGATTTTAAAGTTACAGTCTTGTATTCTTTTAGTAGATCATTTAAATGGTTCTAGCTTATTAAATAAGTTTTAAAATGTTTTCCTCCTTTGTCAAAATGAACTCTAATTCTTATAAACTCTTTTGTTAAAGATTTGTTCATTTTTATTGGAAAGTCAGCTATCCAGAGAGCATAGAGAAAAATATCTTCTGTCCACTGGTACACTACCCAAGTGGCCACAATGGCCGAAACTGAGCTGATCTGAAGCTGGAAGCCAGGAACCTCCTCCAGGTCTCCCAGGTGAGTACAGGGTTCCAAGGCTTTGGCCATCCTTGACTGCTTTCCTAGGCTACAAGCAAGGCACTGATGGGAAATGGGGATGCCAGGACACAAACCAGCACCCATATGGCATCCCAGTGCATGCAAGGCAAGGAGTTCAGCCACTAGGCTACAATACAGAGCCCTTTATAAGCTCCTTTACCAAGAATCTTTGATGGGAGTGTTTCAGAACCTCTGACTGCTATTCTGCAATGTTGGCTTGCAGATTTCCATGGAAATAGTCCCTTTTACAATTTCACCTTGAATTCCTCAAGCTAACACTTCTACTTTACTTTAAAAGCCTGTGAGTGTTTAAGTTAAGGTTTTTGTTGTTTGGGATTTTGTTCTGTTTTGGTAAAAAAAAAAAAAAAAAAAAAAAAGCAATGTCTAAAACTTCTGCCTACCAGATTGTGAGGCTTCCTTTGAAGTTAAAGGGAGATCAGAATCCTTTAACTCTGCTAATGATTACACGGAGAAGGAGATCGGAATGAGCCGGAGGCATGTGACACTTTATACACCCCATGTGACTCCCATGAAGGGCATGTGAGACAGAGAGCCTTCTGGCCAGTGGGAATTAGAAATGCCATGCTGGGGGCCCGGCACTGTGACCTAGCGGCTGAACTCCTTGTCTTGAATGCACCAGGATCCCATATGGGCGCCGGTTCGTATCCCAGCAGCCCCACTTCCCATCCAGCTCCCTATTTGTGGCCTGGGAAAGCAGTTGAGATGGCCCAAAGCCTTGGGACCCTACACCTGTGTGCGAGACCCGAAAGACACCCCTGGTTCCTGGCTTTGGATCAGCTGAACTCCGGCCATTG